GGCCTAGGGACTTCAAACTTGATATGGTGATTGGTCATGATCAGTAGATGACCCCTATTGATTTTGGAGTTAAGGGGTCAAAGGTCAAGGTCACATTGACCTTGTAGGTAAAAACGGTTTCCGATCAATAACGAAAGAACCCTTAGGCCTAGGGACTACAAACTTGATATGGTGATTGGTCATGATCAGTAGATGACCCCTATTGATTTTGGGGTCAAGGGGTCAAAGGTCAAGGTCACATTGACCTCTTAGGTAAAAACAGTTTCGGATCAATAACTAAAGAACCCTTAGGCCTAGGAACTTCAAACTTGGTATGGTGATTGGTCATGATCAGTAGATGACCCCTATTGATTTTGGGGTCAAGGGGTCAAAGGTCAATGTCACATTGACCTCTTAGGTAAAAGCAGTTTCCGATCAATAACTAAAGAACCCTTAGGCCTAGGAACTTCAAACTTGGTATGGTGATTGGTCATGACCAGCAGATGACCCCTACTGATTTTGGGGTTAAGGGGTCAAAGGGAAAGGTCACATTGACCTTGTAGGTAAAAATGCTTTCCGATCAATAACTTAAGAACCCTTAGGCCTAGGAACTTCAAACTTGGTATGGTGATTGGTCATGACCAGCAGATGACCTATTGTTTTTAGGGTCAAGGGGTCAAAGGTCATGTAACATTGACCTTGTAGGTAAAAACGGTTTTCGATCAATTAACTAAAAAACGCTTAGGCCTAGGAACTTCAAACTTTGTATGATGATTGTTGGTGACCAGCAGATGACCCCTATTGAGTTTTGGGTCAAGGGGTCAAAGGTCAAGGTCACATCAACCTTGTAAGTAAAAACGGTTTCTGATCAATAACTTAAGAACGCTTAGGCCTAGGAACTTCAAACTTGGTATGGTGATTTTTCATGACCAGCAGATTACCCCTTTCGATTTTGGGATCAAGGGGTCAAAGGTCAAGGTCACATTGACCTTGTAAGTAAAAACGGTTTCTGATCAATAACTAAAGAACACTTCGGCCTAGGAACTTCAAACTTGGCATAGTGATTGGTCATGATCAGCAGATGACCCCTATTGATTTTGGGGTCAAAGGTCAAGGTCACATTGACCTTGTATGTTAAAACGGTTTCGGATCAATAATAAAAGAACCCTTAGGCCTAGGAACTTCAAAACTTGGCATGGTGATTAGTCATGACCAGCAAATGACCCCTATTGATTTTGGGGTCAAGGGGTCAAAGGTCAAGGTCACATTGACCTTGTAAGTAAAAACGGTTTCTGATCAATTAAGTAAAAACGCTTAGGCCTAGGAACTTCAAACTTTGTATGATGATTTGTCTTGACCAGCAGATGACCCCTATTGAGTTTTGGGTCAAGGGGTCAAAGGTCAAGGTCATGACCAGTAGATACTTGATAACCCTTATTAATTGTTTGATCACTGGGTCAGAAGTCATGCATAATTACCTTATCACATGAATAATTGGCTGCTGATAGGGGGCATACATGTTTTACAAACATATCTTGTTAAATTTTAAAATCAGACTCCTTCATATTCTCTGCATCTAAGAAATAAGGTATATGTATATCTGAACTTGTCATATTGATAGTTTCTTTTTCTCTTAGAGAAGACAAGGCACTGGAGGTTAGGGTTTCCTTGTCTTCTCATTCACTTTGGTGCACAGGCCATCATTATGTCTTGTTGATCAGTGTAAAAGGATACATGTAACTTTTTGTTGGTAAAAGGCTATGTTTGAGTTAACTAGTGGGCCAAGTAAGGTTTAGGTCAGAACTGACCCTGATTCTTTATATTGTCTTGACATGAAGTTGTTAAAATTTATCAATGTAGTTTTCGGAAATAACAAGATTTAAAACACAATTTGTTTATGGATCCATACATGTGAACTTTTTTGATGATCAAGTGGGAGATTTTTCTTCAAAAAGAGGGGAGTTTTTAGAATTTGCAATAAACAAAGAAGGAAGTTCTGACATCAAAAGTAGGGAGATTTCTTTAATTTGTGAAAATACCCCTTTTTTTAAGAAAAATCTTTGAAATACGGCTGCAGAAAGTGGGAGTCTCCCGCTAAAAGTGGGAGAGTTCACATGTATGTGGATCAATTGACAGTCAAGTGGATGCCAACATTAGACCAATAAGTATGCTTACTATAAGCAATGTTACAATAATTGATAAATATAATAATTTGCACTTTAGACGAAAATAAGTAAAAAACAGAATGATCTTGTTCTTAAATTTCAAGAACTACAGAAAGTAAGAAAGTAAGGAAGTTTTAGCAACATTTCATGATGCATCAGAAGGTAACTCTGATCATATAATGGTATGGTGCTTGGTCAAAGGTCAAGGTCATAGTTACATTTGATGTATAATCCTTTTCTGATTTATATCAGATTTATAACAAAAGGAATAAATCTTGGTTAGGGACAATGTCCTTCCCTGCTGATATTTACGTCATAAGGTTATCGTCATGGTGACACTTTGTATAAAATCTTCATCAATAACTTCAGAAGAAATAAGTCTATTGAAGAAATGGGGTATATTGCTTTGCTCAGTGTCAGTCTGTCCGTAGGCCTCACCTTGCCTGACAAATAACTAGGGTATGAATTGGACTAGTCTTGAGATTTTATGTTAAGTTTGGTTATCACTAGTAGATGACACCTTTTGATTTTGGGGTCAAAGGTCAAGTTCCAAGTTTGGTGTGTTTTCTACAAAAAGCTTGTCTGACCAAATGTAGAACATTTTTGCCTACAGTCTGAAGACTCAGTGTTGAGTTTGGCCATGACTAATAGAGGTGCACAGTCCAACCAGTATTAATTTTGGGGTCAGTTTTTCAAAGGTCAAGGTTTCTGTGGCATTGTGTGGGATAAAAGCTGTCCGACCAGTAACTACTACTAGAGAACCCTTAGTGTAGACGTTTTTTACAACAAGTTAATGACTCCTTTAGAATTTTATGTCATTCAGACAAAGGTCAAGGTCATGGTGACCTAAATATTAACTTTTATATTACAGTTTTGTGTTGCCCTTTGCATAATATGTCAAGATTTGTATAAGCTTATACTCACAAGTGCTCTGTAATGAGGTTAAATATCAAGGTCAACATTACTATTTCAACAGTCTTGGTCCTTAAATTGTTCTCAAAGAAGTTGATACATGACAAATTTGTGTCAAGTAGTGGCACATACATATACACTGATAATGTCAGTTTGACACAAAATTTTGAATGACATAGTAGAATCACTTGAAATTTGAAGACCAAGCAGCTGCAAGATCAAAGATCACATTCACTCCCATTTAATGTTACATTGAAAATTTGAAAATCCAAAATATGATTTATATATATTTTGTTGGTCTACAATTGAAAAGTATAGATATTCTTTGATATTTTGTAGAAATTTGTACTGAAATCTGACTTGTACATGTATGACCTATTCATTATGTACATAATAACCAAATTCTACCCTAGCTATGTGGGACATCTTAAAGAATGCTAAAGTTTATCAAATGAAAAATTTTATACTAGTCTGGGATGGTATTTATAACATAAACTGAAATGAGTTGTTGTACTATCACTTAAAATTCACTTTTATGTTATGCTATTTATTACACTTTTGAGGATTAAATGATGATGACATTGATGGGCTTAAATGTATGTTGGCATGGATAGATTGATTGGCAAAATAATTGTTATTCAATTGTTGATTTAGAGGTAATGTTTAAAATTTTGAAAGTTTGTTCTTATTTATGCGCAGATCCAGAAGATGGATTAGGGGTCTTGAACATGCTAGATCCTTACCTGGGAAGGGGAACGGTGGCCTAGTGGTTAAGGTGTCTGCCTCTCAACCCAGGGATCATGAGTTTGAGCCCTAGTCGGGGCACAACCATATCTCTTCATATGACACCAGTACTGGTTGATTCCAGGAAGCTGACCTCGAAAGTGATAAAATATAACTTGCAAAAAGTTTCGCAATCAGGCTTAAATGAATATGTTTAACCAAACCTCTTATTAAACAGTGAAGGTGTTTTATCAAAGATGCATTTGTGTTATGATAACGCATTTTGAATGATATTGACCTCTTATGCCGCTTTGTTTCTGTTCAGTAAGTACTGTCACTTTACTTTCCCAAAATTAAAGGCGCTGGAGAGATCTTTCTAGTTTTGTTTAGCGGACACCAAACAGTATATTGTATATTTTAGAAACTTGTAAAAGTGAGTAAAATTTACTTCAAACCCGCTACCTTTCACCGCTGTATGTTCAAGCTGCACCTTGTCATAGATTCTTTCTGAGGAAAGTATCCATCTTGCTAACAGAACTTTGGTGGTTCTACCCGTTTGTACCTGAAATAATGCAGAAAGTGGCACCTGAGGTTTTCCGGCACCAGTAAAGCTGAAAAATATTGAGAATTCATCAATATTGGATGACAAATAGAAGACATCAATAATGGATGGCAAATATTGAGGATTCAATATGGGATGACAAATATTCTGGATACATCAATACATTTATATTGATTATTACATGTATATAAGATATCTGTGAATACATTTTCTGTGCATCAAATTATGCTGTTTAATGTTTATAAATGCCCTCTGCATGTTATTTCTTTCCTTCTGACCATATGTTGTATATATTTAATGACTTTAAAGTCAAAGTATCTGTGCTTGGGTTTTTTCCAGCTCTTCATATGATAAAAAGTACTCTAATTTTTATGTGTTCATTGTGTACTTTGTGATGATAGAAACTTAACTGGAAACAAGAAACAAACAAATTTTGGCCTTATGGGGGCAAGTAGGTTTGATTGTCATTTGTGTATGTTGTGATGATAGAAACTTATCTATGAACTGGAAACAAGAAACAAACAAATTTTGGCCTTATGGGGGCAAGTAGGTTTGATTATAAATTTTATCATAAATATGGAACATGTTCTACATTTAGAGGTGTAATACCTTTTTCACTGCATTAATGGTAGCTAAAAATAGACTAGTGTCAATACAGCTTAACTGAGATCCTGTTAAATGTGTGGCATGTAATAATTGCCGTGTCATTGGTTTAGACAATGTACATGTAAGATCTAAATTACTCAGTGATCACTTCCACTGCTGCTTGTAAGGAAGTTACAATTGAGTTTTAAATTGTTTAATTACTGTAATTAAAAAAGGAACTAGAACTTATTCAGGTAATTAGGTTTAAATTATTTATTTTAATAAGTTTCATTTATGTTCCCTGTTGAATGTATATTTGTAAGTTAAACTTCTTTAATTAAGCTCTAAAGAATTCTATACAATAAGTCAAAATTACAAGTAAAAATCAAAAACACTGAAATAAATTTATACCTGCCTCTTGAATAGTAAAATTTAAGAATTTTTATCTACTACTTTAATTAAACTTTAGTTATTGAATTAAGGACATTTATAAATAAATAATTCAATAGGTTAGTTTGATTAAGATGTCAAGTGTATTATTAATTTGGATTACAAAGCAAGATATCAAGACTATTAAGGTATTGTCTCAACTAATGCCCCTCTTTAAAATAGAGTGATTTCAGGTACATGCTTTATTGTTTGTTTTTTTTCTTTTTAGCTCACCTGTCACAAAGTGACAGGGTGAGCTTTTGTGATCGCTTTTCGTCCGGCGTCCGTCCGTCGTCCGTCCGTCGTCCGTAAACTTTTACTTTAAATGACATCTCCTCATAAACCACAAGGCCAATTTCATCCAAACTTCACAGGAATTTTCCTTTGGTGGTCACCTTTAAAAATTGTTCAAAGAATTTAATTCCATGCAGAACTCTGGTTGCCATGGCAACCGAAAGAAAAAACTTTAAATATCTTCTTTTAAAAAACCATAAGAGCTAGAGCTTAGATATTTGGCATGAAACATCTTCTAGTGAGTGTCTACCAAGTTTGTTCAAATAAAAGCCCTGGGGTCAAAATTGGCCCCGCCCCGGGGGGTCATTGATTTTCCCTATATGCATATAGTAAAAACTTAAAAATCTTCTTTTAAAGAACTCAAAGAGCTATGGCTAAGATATTGAGCATCAAACATGTTCTAATAGGTGTCTACCAAGTTTGTTCAAAGAAAAGCCCTGGGGTCAAAATTGGCCCCGCCCCAGGGGGTCATTGATTTTCCCTATATGCATATAGTAAAAACTTAAAAAATCTTCTTTTAAAGAACCAAAAGAGTTAGAGCTAAGATATTTAGCATGAAACATGTTCTAATAAGTGTCTACCAAGTTTGTTCAAATAAAAGCCCTGGGATCAAAATTGACCCCGCCCCGTGGGGTCATTGATTTTCCTATTATAATTGCATATAGTAAAAACTTAAAAAATCTTCTTTTAAAGAACTCAAAGAGCTATGGTTAAGATATTTAGCATCAAACATGTTCTAATAGGTGTCTACCAAGTTTGTTCAAATAAAAGCCCTGGGGTCAAAATTGGCCCCGCCCCGGGGTTCATTGATTTTCCTTATATGTGTATAGCAAAACTTAAAAAATCTTTTTTGAAAAAAAAACCCAAATAGCTAGAGTTAAGATATTAAGCATGAAACATCTTTTAGTGAGTGTCTACAAAGTTTGTTCAAATAAAAGACATGGGGTCAAAATTGGCCCTGCCCCGGGGTCATTGATTTTCCTTATATGTGTATAGCAAAAACTTAAAATCTTCTTTGAAAAAACCCAAATAGCTAGAGTTTAGATATTAAGCATGAAACATATTCTAGTAAGTGTCTACAAAGTTTGTTCAAATAAAAACCCTGGGGTCATAACTAGCCCGGCCCCAGGGGTGTCATTGTTTTTAACTATATGTGTATAGTAAAAACTTTAAAAAAATCTTCTTTTAAATAGCCCAATGAGCTAGAGCTTAGATGTTTAGCATGAAACATCTTCTTATGGGTGTCTACCAAGTTTGTGCAAATAAAAGCCCTTTGGTTAAATTGGCCCTGCAACGTTTGGGGGGGGGTTGGGGGGGGCCTATATACAGGTGAGCGACCTCAGGGCCATCATGGCCCTCTTGTTTTATTTTGTGTTTTGTTTTTTTGCTGCTTTTTATTTGGAGGGGGGGGGATATTTAAGAGAAGTTACGGGGCCATCTGACTGTATACAGAACAAAGAGGAACAATAGAATTCATTCCGTAACAATAGAATAAGGGGCCATGGCCCTCTATTAAACAAAAGAAAATAACAAAAGAAATGGCCCCTTAGTCCATTTAAGTGGCACGTCCGTCCGCTCTCACGAGACAGTAATAATGTGGCTAGAGGGACAATAGGTTACTGTTCTTTCTCTTTGATGTCATTCATTCTGTAATGCTTTTATGTGGCTATTTTCTTTTGTGTGGCTAAAAACACGCCCGTTTAACTCACAACGAGTGAAAAATGTCCATCGGTAAAAATGTTGTGAGCAACTTCCGTTCCTCGTTGTGAGCACCCATCTATGACGTGTGACACGATAAACAAGGTGAGTTTTCCATAATTTTTGAAGATTACAGACATTTGTAAAAATATCGGAATGCAGTTACCTAATTTAACATTGAAAACATCGATTCTGACGTCACCAGAATCAACGTTTTCAATGTTAAATTAGGTCCAAAGAGAAGTTGTCTCCAGTTTTCCTGCTACCCCGAGTGACTGCGTCGCACGGTATTTCCAACAAATTGTCCACCAACAGGCAATATCTTTACATGTGCATACTCGGAAAACACATCGCTAGCTAACTGCATTCCGATATTTTTACATAAATGTCTGTAATCTTCAAAAATTATGAAAAACTTACCTTGTTTATCGTGTCACACGTCATAGATGGGTGCTCACAACGAGGAACGGAAGTTGCTCACAACATTTTTACCGATGGACATTTTTCACTCGTTGTGAGTTAAACGGGCGTGAAAAAGAACAATAGAGAGAACAATAGAGTAGCCTTGATAATTACTGTCCTGTTAGAACTTCTGTCCGTCCATCCATCCAATTATGAGTACTGCCAACCCCTCTCGAGAGTGTTATAGGCAGGAATTATCTAAATATTACCTATTTAAAAAAAACAAATGGACTTAAGACAAGACTTTAAATTTTGAGGCCTTCTTTCTTTCATTAACATAGAATTTGAATTTACGTTTTAGTATTTAACTGCTAAAATAGGAAAGTTTATATACCCATGATACACTTAAGGGCAAGTAAATAATATATTTATGATAAGGGGGAGGAATGTTGATTTAGGGTTTACACTACATATATACATTTTGTATTTGAAAACTGTCTTAACTTGATGGCCTATAAGAAATAAGTTACAACAGTATTTAGTTTTTTTCCCCTGATTTATAGCATAAAGAGTAAATGACATCTCATGATATAAATACAACACAGTACAATCATGAAATATATACATAAAACTTAAATTACAACAATGGGATTTTTGTTTTTCAGATTTATTTACATCCACCATTAAGCGGGCAGGCTCACCCGTCTCTTACACAGTGGGCAAGATGCCACCAACACCAGATCTGAAAGCGGTCATCAATGACCTGACCAGCAAGAACAAGGTGATGGTGTTCAGTAAAACCACCTGTCCATTCTGTATCCAGGTAAGTCTTTACCACCAGATTAATCAGAATACCATTGATATCCTTATGAAAACAACGAGCAAAAAGTTGATATGCACCCAGAAAATAGTTCATGAAAATGTATTCTTTTAATTATTGCTTAATTTTTTTCAATTTTATTATCAAGCGCAACACATATGGAAAATTAAATATAAATCAGACAAAAGTAAATCTTCTTACTACATGTACATGATAAGTTATCTTATTTTGTGAGTTTTGAAATCATTGTATCGAAGGCAAAAATAAAAACAGTTCCCTGACATCAAAATATTTAAACCCAGAAAAAGTAACCAATGTAAGAGCATCTGAATATGACTTTTCTATCGTTATCTCTTTTCCTGTTGTCACAATAAGTAAACCCCAGAAAAAAAATGAGCCAATCAACCGGCATGCTCTAGACATACAGTGAGTGCTAGTAACTAACACTGCACTCCAGTTAACGCACTGTGCATATATATGTATAAGACTAATACTATTGACATGTTTTCAATAGTATTAGTCCAACAGTTCCAATAGTAAAAACTATGATAAAACTGATTGAAGTAAATAATGTTTTCATTTTGCACTTTATTAAAATCATATGCTTAATATCATTGTTGACACAGTCTGGTTAATCTATTTTTCCCCATACATTTGTTTCCATAGCTTTGTGTTTTCCCAGAAGTCCTCTTATATGTGATAAAATGCAGTATCAATTTACCTTGATGTGATATGATATCTAAGGTTGTTTAACTGTTTCTATTTTTGTAACCAGTGTTTAAAACAGTTTTGAAGTTTTCCTGCATATTTCTTTGTCTGAAGTAACTGTTATTTTCATATAATTATAGCAGAAAGTGTAATATGCTTGTTTATTCAATTATTAGCTCACCTGTCACAAAGTGACAGGGCGAGCTTTTGTGATCGCTTTTCGTCCGGCTTCCGTCCGCCGTCCGTCCGTCCGTAAACTTTTACTTTAAATGACATCTCCTCATAAACCACTAAACCAATTTCATCCAAACTTCACAGGAATGTTCCTTTGGTGGTCACCTTTAAAAATTGTTCAAAGAATTTAATTCCATGCAGAACTCTGGTTGCCATGGCAACCGAAAGAAAAATGTCTTCTTTCAAAAAACCGTAAGAGACAGAGCTTAGATATTTGGCATGAAACATCTTCTAGTGAGTGTCTACCAAGTTTGTTCAAATAAAAGCCCTGGGGTCAAAATTGGCCCCGCCCCAGGGGGTCATTGATTTTCCCTATATGCATATGGAAAAAACTTAAAAATCTTCTTTTAAAGAACCCAAAGAGCTAGAGCTAAGATATTTGGCATGAAACATCTTCTAATGAGTGTCTACCAAGTTTGTTCAAATAAAAGCCCTGGGGTCAAAATTGGCCCCGCCCCAGGGGGTCATTGATTTTCCTTATATGTGTATATAGCAAAAACTGAAAAAATCTTCTTTGAAGAAACCCAAATAGCTAGAGTTTAGATATTAAGCATGAAACATCTTCTAGTGAGTGTCTACAAAGTTTGTTCAAATAAAAGCCTCGGGGTCAAAATTGGCCCCGCCCCAGGGGTCATTGATTTTCCTTATATGTGTATAGCAAAAACTTAAAAATCTTCTTTGAAAAAACCCAAATAGCTAGAGTTTAGATATTAAGCATGAAACATCTTCTAGTGAGTGTCTACAAAATTTGTTCAAATAAAAGCCCTGGGGTCAAAATTGGCCCCGCCCCAGGGGTCATAGATTTTCCTTAAATGTGTATAGCAAAAACTGAAAAAATCTTCTTTGAAAAAAACCAAATAGCTAGAGTTTAGATATTAAGCATGAAACATCTTCTAGTGAGTGTCTACAAAGTTTGTTCAAATAAAAGCCCTGGGGTCAAAATTGGCCCTGCCCCAGGGGTCATTGATTTTCCTTATATGTGTATAGCAAAAACTTAAAAATCTTCTTTGAAAAAACCCAAATAGCTAGAGTTTAGATATTAAGCATGAAACATCTTCTAGTGAGTGTCTACAAAATTTGTTCAAATAAAAGCCCTGGGGTCAAAATTGGCCCCGCCCCAGGGGTCATAGATTTTTCTTTATATGTGTAATTAGCAAAAACTTAAAAATCTTCTTTGAAAAAACCCAAATAGCTAGAGTTTAGATATTCAGCATGAAACATCTTCTAGTGAGTGTCTACAAAGTTTGTTCAAATAAAAGCCCTGGGGTCAAAACTTGTCCCGCCCCAGGGGTGTCATTGTTTTTAACTATAATGTGTATAGTAAAAACTTACAAAATCTTCTTTGAAAAAACCCAATGAGCTAGAGCTTAGATGTTTAGCATGAAACATCTTCTTATGGGTGTCTACCAAGTTTGTTCAAAATAAAGCCCTTGTGTTAAAATTGGCCCTGCCGGGGGGAAGATCATTGTTTTTCATCATATGTGTGTAGTAAAAACTTAACATGAAACATCTTCTAACGGGTGTCTTCCAAGTTTGTTAAAATAAAAGCCTTGGGGTTTAAACTGGCCCCGCTCCGGGGGCCTATATACAGGTGAGCGACCTCAGGGCCATTTTGGCCCTCTTGTTTTTAACCTTTTTTTTAGCTCGACTGTTTGGAGAAATGTATACTATTTTAAGCTTGACTATTTGACAAAAAGGTTACAATTAACTTGACTCTTTGAAGAAAAATAGGGCTATCCTAGCAATGTCATTTTAAAGCTATTTAGAGAAAAGGCCCATGGCAAAAATTGGGGAAAAGTGTGTTGCATATTGGAAAAATTTAACAGATAAAAAAGATCTACCTTACACAGTCATGACTTCTTAGTTTTTACCCCTGGGGCAAGTGTATATTATTATAACCTGTCACTAAATATTTCAAGAAACATGTCAAATCAGTTCAATTTTCTAAGAAGTTTAAGCAGTTTGATTGCTTCCTGCTGTTGGGATTACATGGCTTTCCCTAGGAATTTCAGTCAGGAGGTCCATGTACATGTCTTAAAATTTTTGGAGTCCATTGTAGTTCCCATATCGAAACTTAAATTCATCTACTGAAATCATTAAAACTTATCATAAATTGTTCATACTTTTCAGTATTAGGCATTTATTTCAAGGACAGCCATTTTAGAGATACATGTAGCGTTTGTAAACTGGTATTTTACAAAGAAATTTGATTTTCAATTGGCAATAGGGCCTTATGTTGGGCCCTTGTAATTCAGGGCAAAGATGCCTGAATTCCTACTAACCCAGTGTCAGTGTCAAGATAAGAGTGGTTTTGTGAGCAACTTTTTGTACAACTTTATAACTCATTAACCGCTACATATGTTTGCTTATAACTTGGTAAATGTCTTTAAGATCATGATAAAGGTCATAATTGTATATTATCCTGAGGGCCCAATACTCTCGACATGGAATTGATATAACTTAATAAGATATTTCATAACTTTTTCAGGTGAAGGAATTATTTTCTTCAATTAAGGTGGACTACAAGGCCATGGAGTTGGACACTGAAAGTAAGTCTTTACATGTATTTGTTTGTTTAATTCAATTTTATTATAATACTGGTATTTATAATAAATATCATCACTCTTAAAGGTATTATGAAAGTTGAAAATTTTCAGTATCCAGTAGTTTCTTTTGACTGCCAGCTATGTAACATTTACTTTGAGATTATGCTTCTATTAATTGACATTTGCTATCCAGCTTGCTTATGGAACATTAGTGGTTCTTCACAGGTGCCGGTTTGTGCCGAGGTCACCTGAGGTCTTCCTCCACCAGTAAAGCTTTAAAGTTGCCATATGACCTAAACTGTGTTTGTGCGATGTACAACTAAATAAAGAAAAAAAGAAAATGTATATTTTGTCGATGTTTATCCTTTAGTTTGCTGGTGCTTACAGAGATTCTACCAATGCAACTAGTGCACACCAAGATCAGTCATCATGGTCTGCACTGTTAGTTTTTTAGTTGGTTATTTGAAATTTTCAAGAATGATGATGAAGGTTTTTTCTCCTGACTGAAAAATGGACAAGTCCATGTAAATTATCAAAGATATGAAGCATGACAGTTAATGGCCTTCTGACACTTATTAATGAAGGAAGAACACATTTAACAGATATGTAAGTTAAGAATGATTTTGATATCCAATATTTATGATATTAGATGCTTAAAAAAAATAAAAAAATTTGCAAGTCAATCTTAAAAAATTCTTCAGGATATTTGGTTTTATGTTGTATTAGGTAATGGGACAGCATTACAGCATGCCCTCGCAGAGATGACGGGTCAGAGAACTGTTCCCAGTGTTTTCATCAACGGTAAACATCTAGGTGAGTGTCAATTATAAATTATAGAATTTTGTTAACGTCTCTATATACATGTATATTTTCATTATTACATTATAATGACAATTACTGACTCCCCATTTAACAATTTGTGTTTAGTTTAAAATTGCACTTCGTGGACAGTGCAGGTTAGTCCTGGATTTTCATGAAAAAGTTTGAAGGGTTTCTGTAGATAATACATTGTAATGTGTAATATTTTGTTTGGTGTAGAAAATCCTCATTTTGTTGATTTTGTTGTTGTTGTTTTTGCTGCTGCTCATAATGCTCTGTTTGTTGTCCTCTTAGATTGATTGCTTGTTAAAAAAAAAGATTTAATGATGGTTGTTAGTGATTCTGTTGAACAATGCTTTGTATTGATAAATGATGAATAATAGTGATGATGATATGTGATTGATGATGATAGTGATTGATGATGATCATTGTGATTACTGATTGATAGTTGTGATTAAGGAGAATTAATGATGATGATGATAATAAGTGATTGGTGATGATCAATTAGAAGTAGGGATGATTGATTGATTGATTGATTGATTGAAAGTGATGATGTAATAATTTCCTTTTAATCTTTCCCAAATTTATATGTCCCAACAAAATAAAACTTGGTTTATAATATAAACATAAGAAGAAAGTTTAAATAATGTACATGTACATTATTTTGTTATCATGTCATCTCATTTTGCTAATCCTGTATTTCTGGACCACTGAATTTACATAATGCATTTGTTTCACCTATGTAAAGCAGGTGTGAAAAGGTGTTTTTTGCAAGGTTGTGAAATCACGTTATTAAATGGGTTTGTTTGCAGTATTTTCTGATTGATGAAACCCCACAAATGAATTTTTATGATAAGGCTGTTACGAACCAGGATATTGATTTGATGAATTACCAATTTATTACTTTATGTTGGTTTTTTATTTTTCGTGAAATCCTGGTATAAATTATGCAAATAACTCTTGTCCTTTTATGTTGAAATACAAGTTTTTGTAGTGCAATTTATGAAATGAAATCCATAGCCAAAGTAAAATCAGGTAAAGATATGAACCATTAAAATATGCAAATGTATTCTTTATAAGTTAGATTTGATTTTGAATTTCATTTACACATCACAGAATTAATGGAACTATTCTATTCTTTTCTCAATATTTATTAATATGTAATTTTTGGTCATTAGAGGAAGAGCTGTATTTTATAAATAAAATTTTGACATAGAAATGACCTAGTGAATTAATACAAAGTATTTAAATTCATATGTTTTTGAGTTGAGTGGGAAAATCAATTCAATATGACCTCTGCAGAGCAGCCCCTCTGTTGGAGCAATAACCTCTTTATACCAACAAACCTTAAAAAACATATATCTTGTGACAAATCAGGTGTAACTGTACATGTTATTTGCTTAAACTAGGAAGAAGTTGCCTTTAAAATAAATAAATAACTGATTTTAATTTACTACTTCAGTTTTTTTTTCTGATTTTAATTTACTACGAAAATATGACAGCAAATGAAATAAAAAGTGTAAAAAAAACAACTGTCAATTAATTTCATTGTTAGGCTTATTTTTGAATTAAACAAACTTTTTTCCCTTACAAATAAAAGTAATAAAACTTCCTGTATTGTATAATTATGTTAAACAAGCATACAGTATAAAAATATAATATGCATTTTAAAAAGAATAACTGACTTGTGAAATATTACAATCATGGAGAATACTATTATTGTTAAATTCCTTTGTATGAAATAATTGACTTATGGAATGTTGTATTGACTAGTTAGGTATGTAATTGATAAAGTGTAAATTTAATTAACATATCTACTTCAAAATGTTAATTGTCATATGAAAAATTATTGGATAAGATTATGTAGGATAGTCATTAATTAACTTTGTAAGCATAAGGGGTGTAGCTAATGGTCTAAATTATTGTATAGGCTTCTGGAGGGGTTTGGGAGCACCTAGGCCAAAAATAAAAATATGTTTGTTTCCCCTTCCCAACCAATTAAAAATTAGGGTTGTTTTCCAGCTAAAATGTTTCATAAATGTAGATGGTTTAATATGGTTGCCTGGTCTTGCCTGAATGTGCATCCCCTACTGCTTTCCTTTTACTCAACCCAGGGATCATGGATTTGAGCAATACTCGAGTCAGGACCGTGATTTTCATAATTATGACACCTGTACTGGTTAGTTCGAGATAGTGGACTCGAAAGAAAGAACTTGTTTCGCAATCAAGCTAAAATAAATATGTTTAAACTAATTTGGAAACTCGTACCCGACCTTCCTTAATTTATTGAGTGCTGGTAGGTAATTGGGAAAAGATTTGTACATTTTGTATAGTCATCATAATTATCAAAGGTGCATCTAATGATGAAATTATTGTACATGTTGTAAGAAAACAAGTCATATTCAAGATGATTCACCATATTTGTTAACATGTTATCATTATTTCTTTGCTTGCAAAATAAAAAACACCTTGTTATAACTGTAAGCTTGCTGCATGATTTTAACTACCAATAGAAGCAGGGAATATTTCGTTTGTTAGTCATAAAGAATCTGGTAGACTGTATCATACAATTAAGAATAATTATGACCAGTTTGAATAAGTACGACATGAGGTTCACCAATTATTGTAAAATATTGGCAATATAGTAATTGTTTCAGTGTTTAACCAAAGATTATCTGTAAAGTAATAAAATGTTATTTCCGGATACTTTATTTGATGAAAGCTATTGATTTAATTATAATATATCAGTACTCTATTCTAAGTTGATCTGATAAAAATTCCAGTGTGGTGAGAGAGATCACATGACCTGAAATAGTTTTTTGAGGCAAAATAGAAAATTACGGTTAAAACAGTTTAGCATGCTTGCTGAGTTACAGAATATACCCATGTGACCAGTGTAGACAATGGTCAGTCAGTACATCCATGTCATCTGATCATGGTCTGCACTGTTTGCTATTCAGTCTGAAAATATTTTTTAAATTTTACCCTAAAAATGATAAATGGTTTAGTCCATATGAAAAGGATAGATTTGTCCATTTAAGATCTTCTCAGCTTGGCAAGGAACAGAATCAGATTGTATAATTACTAGAAAGTGTTACTTTCTTTGAATTAGGCAATAAAAACCGAAAATATCCAGTCAGTTTTTATCAACAACTGATGTTCAAATGGTTGATTTTGACTACATACTTTGAAGTTACAATACATTAGTTATAGGAAACTAAAAAAAAAAATAAAAAAATTCAAGAACAAGATAAAGAAAAAGAATTACAGCTAAATTTGTACCATTAACAGCATTTGCCTATCTATAGTTATGTAACCTAGTACATAGCTTTTAATTAAAGAACATTCAGAAGTATTATTTTAATTAGGTTTTAAATAAGTACTTTTTTGATGTTCTTTTGCAATCAATATAACCAACCTGACTTGCTAATTTCGATGACAGCTAAAAAAAGAGGAAATCCTATTGTTTTGTAATGTCAATGATTTCAGTCTGATGGTAAAAAACAAATCTCTCGCGGGGGATATTGATGGGAATTAACTGATGCACACGCTGATATTGAACTAATTGAAGTATTATACTATCTCAGGCATTGTCATTAGCAACACGCATGTAGGAATCAGTGTTAACAAATGGATACAAAATGTCAGAATGTTAAACAAGCTGTCAAATTTTTTTTTTTACATTTTTGGTTATTGTGCATTTATAGTAATATGATGCTATAGATTAAGCTTGCTATTAAGGGATGTTATGAAATTAGCTTGTTGCAAAGAAATGTTATAGATTAAGCACATTTTGTAATCAAGGTATATTGAATAAGTGTATTTTCAATAGATATGAAATAAGTTCATTTTTGAGGGATATGAACAAAGTAATTTAATGGAATTAGTTTATAATCGAAGAATTATATAATTGAGTAGAGCTGGATTTGGCCTGAGCCGTGGTAAGCTGACTAAAAATTGCAAGAGGAAAGTGATGCTACTGGATTATAGAGATTCTTTCTGTAAAATAGAATATTACTTTAGGCAAAGTTGGGTACTTTGTTATCCTGCCATGGCCATCATTCCATCATAACCCAGACCAATTTACCAGGTACTCATTACTATCACTGTTGTAAATAGTTATATAAACATGTAAGATTATCTGTTCATATTCCAGTACTTATAAATATAAGCTTTTCTTTACTTTTACCGTAACAGCTGTATTTGTGTAATGGATCCGTCCAACTTTAAATTTCGAGTTAAAGGGATTCGAGTTGCTTGGATGTGTGGGTTGGCCCGGCTCTATACTGGTGGCAGGGGCAGTAAAATTGATTGTCTAATTGCCCAGGTTGTCCCACAGCCTGTACAGACAAGTGGAAATTTTCAAGAATTTACTGTATAAATATCATACAGACAAGTTGTGAAATGCTCCAGATAAAAATGAACATGTAAGTCAAAATCAGAGTTTGCCGGCCTTGTGTGGTAAAGGCTGACCACAGGCCCTGTGTAGTAAAGGCTGATCACAGACCTTGAAGGGTAAAGGTTAAACACATTTAGGCCTATGTGGTAAAGGCTGATCACAGGCAATGTGTGGTAAAGGCTGATCACAGGTCCTGTGTGGTAAAGGCTGATCACAGGCCATGTGTGGTAAAGGCTGATCACAGGCCCTGTGTGGTAAAGGCTGATCATTCTCCCTCTTGGATAAAGGTTGATCACAGGCCCTGTGTGTTAAAGGCTAATCCCAGGCCCTTTGTGGTAAAGGCTAATCACAGGCCCTTTGTGGTAAAGGCTTATCACAGGCCTCGTCAGTTAAAGGCTGATAACAGGCCTTGTAAGGTAAAGGCTGATCACAGGCCTTGTCAGGTAAAGGCTGATAACAGGCCTTGGAAGGTGAAGGCTGATCACAGGCCTTGTCAGTTAAAGGCTGATAACAGGCCTTGTAAGGTAAAGGCTAATCACAAGGCTTTTGTGGTAAAGGCTGATCACAGGTACTGTTTGGTAAAGGCTGATCACAGGCCGTGTGAGTTAAAAGCTGATCACAGGCCTTGTGAGTTCAAGGCTAATCACAAGGCCTTTGTGGTAAAGGCTGATCACAGGTACTGTTTGGTAAAGGCTGATAACAGGCCGTGTGTGGTAAAGGCTGATCACAGGCTGTGTGTGGTAAAGGCTGATCACTGGCCTTGTGTGGGTAAAGGCTGATCACAGCCTGTGGTAAAGGCTGATCACAGGCCTTGTGAGTTAAAAGCTGATAACAGGCCTTGTGAGTTCAAGGCTAATCACAAGGCCTTTGTGGTAAAGGCTGATCACAGGTACTGTTTGGTAAAGGCTGATCACAGGCCGTGTGTGGTAAAGGCTGATCATAGGCCTTGTGTGGTAAAGACTAATCATAGGCCTGTGTGCAAAGACTTATCACAAGGTCTGTGTGGTAAAGGCTAATCATAGGCCCTGTGTGGTAAAGGCTGATCACAGGCCTTGTGAGTTTAAAGCTCATCACAGGTTTTGTGAGTTAAAGGCTAATCACAAGGCCTGTGTGGAAAAGGCTGATCACAGGCCCTGTGTGGTAAAGGCTGATCACAGGCCGTGTGGGTAAAGGCTGATCATAGGCCTTGTGTGGTAAAGACTAATCATAGGCCTGTGTGGTAAAGGCTTATCACAAGGCCTGTGTGGTAAAGGCTAATCACAGGCCTTGTGAGTTAAAAGCTGATCACAGGCCTTGTGAGTTAAAGGCAAATCACAAGGCCTGTGTGGTAAAGGCTGATCACAGGCTATGTGTGGTAAAAGCTGATCACAGGCTATGTGTGGTAAAGGCTGATCACAGGCTATGTGTGGTAAAAGCTGATCACAGGCTATGTGTGGAAAAGGCTAGTCACAGGCCCTGTGCGGTAAAGGCTAATCACAGTCGGTTCCAGCATGTGAGGTATTAATATTGAATTTGAAGGTACAAACACTTTGAATGTAAATTATATGTTTATATACAATACCTTGTAATTAGATTGCACTTCACATTGATAGCAGTGAAGGACATGGTTGACATCCTTGAAATACACAAATACGAATTTTTGTGACATGATATTTTTTTAATAGAGGAGAATTATATTATATTGTACATGTATGAAGAAATTTGTAGCTTGACAAGATCTTTTTTGTTACATACATGCCTTCATTTGTTGTGCCTTTGAAGTTAAGTTTGATGCTCAACTGTTAACCCTTATTTCAATGCCAAGATTTAATAACTTAAAAGTATGTAAACATGTTTAGAATGATGTAGATTAGAAAGAAATGTCATGTTACATTTCTTGTTTCTCACTGAGAGGGAAAACTGTGTAAACTACGGACATAAAGGTAGGTGTAATCTGATTGCACCCATGAAGTCCCTTGTGGCTGAGGGGTTGCCTTTAAAGGTTGAGGCATCAGAATTGCAGCCACTGTTTATTCCTGTATGATCATAAGAGGCGATTTATTTAAAGGGGTTCAAATTACTGGAGTCTATGCATCTAGGTGAGGTGGTTTTGACCCCTGATGTTGCTTTTAGTTTGTAGCACCAGAGATTTGCCAAAATCATCTTTACTGTTCTGGTGCCATTTGACCTAAATTGTGTTTGTACGCTGTAAAACCAATCCAAACAAACAATAGCACACATGATAATTATAATGAGTAAATATTCTAAACATTATATTACAGGGACAGAAAAGAATATATAGCTGCTGTTATATTGTATTAAATTGAGGGTTATTAAATTAATTTAAATGCCCCAGGATTATCAGTTTTCATATCGCTTATACATATTATCATAAAAAAGGATTTTGCTGTTGGTACCTGTATTACCTGGGTAACCAAAAAGCCTATTGGGTTTTTTTGGAGCAGATACATGTTTGGCACAGATTTAAGATGCACCCATGGCCTTTTTGTTCTGATTTTTCTTTGCCATGCTCTCAAAAATATCTTTTCTTGTGGCTGTTGTGGCTGCAGTAAGAGTACAAAATGTTTTCTATTTGACAAAGAAATGAATTATAATTACTATTGAATTTATTATCACAAACATATTATGATTGTATCATGTATTCTTTGAACCTAAGTGTAATATTAATATTATAAATAAACCATGTTTTATTCAGATTATAAGAAGTGTATTATTATGAATTTATAACCATGCTGATTTTGCGACTCCCTTATAACTGTATTGCACGGCTGTGCATACATTTTAATGTGACGTCATTTGTGTTATACTAACACAGTTTAAAAATGTGGTAAATGTTAGTGATATACTAAATAGAATATTATATTTGTGTATAATTATAATACCATATGTATCGAACTTGTTAAAGGAACTCCACTGAGGTTTGTTGACATGATGGGACTGAAAATGTTTTTTCCAGATAAATGTACCATTTAAAGTAGGTTAAGACCATTAATCTTTGTGCAAAATATCAGATCATTCAGGCACTTCGATTTTCCAGAATAATTATTCAAATTGTAACAATTATGACCCAAAATGAAAAGCTTTTAAACACTTTTCACTCAAATTGGGCTAAGAAAAGCATAAAAATGTGATTTTCCATTTATTTCAAAGTATATTTGTAAACTATCTTTCCATATATTTCTGTTTAAAGTGCCCCAGCTCATTTATTTAAGAAATTCAAATGATATGTTTTTAGGCTTTTAAACCTCAGTGGAGTCCCTAAAATCATATCATGCTAATGCCAGAGGTTTGCATAAGATAATTTTATTCAACTTGTTCAATAAATTAAGTATTGAACCTACACTTATTTAAAATCCTATATAGTGTATCCTTTAATATTAACATAGTACTAAAAACTGTTGATATATATTGAAATTATTGTTAACGATTTCAGGTGGCTGTGATGATACAAAGAGAGCTCACAGAGAAAATAAATTGTTAGCAATGATAAATCCACCTACAGAAAAGTATGACTATGATCTCATTGTGATTGGGGGTGGTTCTGGCGGCCTGGCAGCATCTAAGGTAACTTACGTTTATCTTATCCTAGTCAATGAAATAGTGAGATACATCAGTAGAAAATAACCCATATCACTCACTTTATTAAGAAATCACTGGTCCAACCACTTAGTTTAGTTTAATGGAGAGCATCAGATATAGTTCAGTTTAAGAGAGAGCATCAGTTTTAGTTCAGTTTAAAGGGATATTCAGGCAAAATAATGACAAAAATATTAAAATGATCTTATGTACTCAACACGCTAACAAGACTTTTCTTGAAGTTTCAGCATGAGTTCGTGTTTAAATTCTATGTATTTTGGGTTTGAAGCGTAAATATATCTATATACCGTAAAATTCCTATCAAACGCCCCCGGGGGCTAAACATTTTCCAAAAGGGGGGCTATTATTACAACATGTTTTTCCTAAATCCAAAAATCATTGAAAATACATTTAGTGTAACATGGGTTGGTAATAACATTAAAATGTGTTAAGATTTTAAAGTTCATGTGATACATTTTTGTGTTTACTATGAAATAAAATGGATTCTGAAGGATTTGAATAAGATTACGGATTTATTTAAGAGTTCACCACTCATGAGCAGATTTTTTTCCATATCGAAAAGCCTGGGGGGGCTTTTATTAGGGGAGGGGCGTTTATTAGGAATTTTACGGTATGTTGAACAAAATTAAGACGTCAATAGAAATACCAAATAGTTTTTAAACAAGTCAGGTGACTTGAACAAACCTTTGAAGTTACAATAACAGATATTGTGGATATTGTATGATTGAAACAAGCCTAATTCATTCATTTGACATTTTCTTTAACGTTTCCAGTGTTCACTTTGACAACTTTTGTGAAATGCTAGCGCTCTAACCTGACCCACGCGGGTCAAATAGGAAACCACCATTTTATTCTTTATATGGAGAAAAGTTTTGTTCCTTTGACTGTCTAATATATTAATTTTTAGGGCATTTACAGAATAATGAACTAAGAAATGAAAATTTTGCCTGTATCTCCCTTTAAGGGAGAGCATCATTTTTAGTTCAGTTTAAGGGAGAGCATTGGATTTAGTTCAGTTTGAGGGAGAGCATCAGTTTTAGTTCAGTTTAAGAGAGAGCATCAGTTTTAGTTCAGTTTAAGGGAGAGCATCAGATTTAGTTCAGTTTAAGGGAGAGCATCAGATTTAGTTCAGTTTAAGGGAGAGCATCAGTTTTAGTTCAGTTTAAGAGAGAGCATAAGATTTAGTTCAGTTTAAGAGAGAGCATAAGCTTTAGTTCAGTTTAAGGGAGAGCATCAGATTTAGTTCAGTTTAAGGGAGAGCATCAGATTTAGTTCAGTTTAAGGGAGAGCATCAGATTTAGTTCAGTTTAAGGGAAAGCATCAGATTTAGTTCAGTTTAAGGGAGAGCATCAGATTTAGTTCAGTTTAAGGGAAAGCATTGGATTTGTTATCCAGGGGTCAATGGCTAATTCTGAATGCAATCAATAAGGTGTCTTAGCTCTCATATGCTGTCTCAAGTCATGTTTTGTAAGTATCTGACCCACCAAGTAGAAGGCAAACTATTTGTTCAATATTTAAGAAATTTTACATCAGTCAAAGTTTGTTTTTAGAAATTTCATTAGAATTCTTTGAAATATTTTTTATTTGAAGTTAGATTTATGTTATTCAATTGTTATTGGTATATAGGCTGCAGCAGCCCTAGGAAAGAAAGTAGCTGTATTTGATTTCGTGAAACCTACACCTATTGGAACTACATGGGGTAAGACACAACTTCAAAAGATATTCTTAAGAGTTACAACAAATAGTTGGACCTGTTTCAGGCTAAAGTCTTGTTATGCATTTGTCTATGTTTAAATTATAAAAAAAATCTTTCTGTTTAATCACAAGGTGGTATAGAGGTCACAGGGCCTTATCCAGAAATTTTGGGAAAAGGCACCTTGCATAAAAGGGGGGGTCAACATTATGGGAATTTTAAGTTGAAAATCTGCCTTATACATGACTTACTTAGATTTAACTCCTTTATTTAATTCTTTTGACTTGGTAATTATATGAAAATATTAAATATCTAAAAAAAAAAACATACTTAACCTTTAGAAAAGCTGTAGGCAGCTTTATAAATTAAGTTAAAACATTTCACCATCAGCTGTGTATTTAGCAAGGGCATTGCTAAAAAATACAGAAATTTATTATAGAAGAAAAAGCTTATTGCCCACTTTTATTATAAAAATGTTGATAAAAAACATGTACATTTACATGGAAGAAAAATGATTTCTACCAACCTCATACCAAAATTGATGAAACAAATGTCCCAAAAATTAAATATAGTGTATATTCCCAAAGAAGTATGTGTATTATAAGTAATCATAATTTAATAATTAAATACATGTATTATGTATATATTATAGGTCTAGGAGGAACATGTGTAAATGTAGGATGTATACCCAAAAAGTTGATGCACCAGGCTGCTTTACTAGGTTTGTTTTTTACCTAAATATATATATATAGTTATATATATTGTATATCAAAATGACTATATCTCAAGAAAATAGAATAGGTGAGTGAAATGTATAAATATACAGTTTATTAGCCCTCTTATTTATATCGTTTTCATTTAATGTAAATGGCTAAGGGGTTGCCATAAAGAATGTAATCATCAGAATTGCAGCCACCATTAATTTACCCTGATCGTATCAGGTGACTAAATGGGTTTGAATTTCAAGAGTCCTTGCTTCTCTTAGATCCAGAAAGTGAGGCGGTTTTGACCTCTGGTGTTGCTTTAAGTTTGTAACGCCAGATGTTAGTTAAAAATCATCTTTCCTGTTTGAGGCTCGCCATATGATCTAAATTGTGTTGGTGTGCCATGAAACCAAACAAAACAAATGCTGTATATAAGGCTTATACCAAGTGTGAGACTTAAGTCGTTTGCACTATGTTCTTAGATTAGTATTTTAGAAAAAAATGCACTGTTGATCAGGCAATATACTGTTGGCTGACTGATTTTGAATTTTTATCTTGATAATCCCCAAAAATTTATAATTGAAAGGTCTAAAAATGATAGCTGGACAAATCTATTTAAGAAATATAGAAGGGTCAGGGTTAAAGCTTTAAACAAACTGTCTATATCATTATATTAAAAAGAATTATATAATGTTTTGATGAAGGATTCGAGTTGAAAATAATGTTTAGCACTTTGTAATTTCAGGTCATAGTTTCCATGATGCTAAAGCATTTGGATGGCAAATGCCAGAATCTAGTAAGTAAAATGATTAAACATTGTAAATTAATGTGTTTTTAGCTTTTTAGTAAATTTAAGAACATATATGTAAAAAGAGATTTTTTAGGTATTTTTTGGTGATATTATTTCTAATAGTTATTATAATAACTGTCACATGTAAACTTTATTCTGGACATTTTATTTATAATTGTTGCTATAACTGTCCACATTTTTTGCCTTACAGTTCAGCATAACTGGGAAACAATGAAAAATGCAATTCAGGTTAGTACCTTATACATGTAAAACCTTAACATTAACTTGCTATTGAAATAGAAGTAATGTCACTGTTCAATGTTCAATGTTCTCACTGATAACATATTTGAGCCGTGTCACGACAAAACCAACATAATGGGTTTGCGACCAGCATGGATCCAGACCAGCCTGCGCATCCAGCCTGTATCCTCTTAAAATCATTCATCTTTACCCTTTGACATAACATTTAATTGTGACCTTGACCTTTCATGTTTCGACATATCGTTCTTCTGAAAGAGATAGATCTTCATGCGGATGTTAAATAAGATCTCAACCTTCAAGGTGATGCTTTCAAAGTTCAGGAAATATCTTCATGTGGATGTTTCAAATAAGATCTAGACGTGCAAGGTCATGCTTTAAAGTAAATTTAAGGGATTGGAGCATTAGAATTTTTTTGGATGATTTATTGGTATGCATTATTTTGTATTCTTATATTGTAACATCATATATATATTATAGGACCATATAGGCTCTCTTAACTGGGGTTATAGAGTACAGCTCAGGGATAAAAAAGTGGAGTACAAGAATGCATATGCAGAATTTGTGGACACACACACTGTTAAGGTATGTTATTTTACCAACATTTGGTAAGTAAGCTATGGAAAATGAAATTGGGGAAAATTTTTCAAAAACAAGACTCCCATCCTAGTTGGTTCAGATAACTATTGTTTGTTTATTAATTTATATTTTAAACATTTACATTGAACAGTAGTATGGATAATGTTATTCAATGCAAAATACAGGTGTTGTGAGAAAGGTTGTCCTGTTACTACAAATAAAATTACATGTTTTTCTTTCCTGTGAGACTTGAAAGCGATGATAAGAATCTCTTATACATGATCATAACAGAATATCAAGGGTAATGAATATGGTGTACAAGAGTCAAATTCCAATAAGTTATAAGTCTTTGATAGAATTTTGAGAATTCTTCCTTCCTGTATGTGAAATGTTTCACTGATTGTGACATTTTCAAAGAACAAAATATTTCTGTAGTAAACATGCATAAGTTATAATATTCAAATCTCTATTTTTTAGTAAAGAAATTACAATGATTGGGGTGGTTATTTTTACAGGCTGTTGACAAAAAAGGAAAGGAGATATCTTATACAGCAGATAAATTTATACTTGCCACAGGTGAACGACCAAGATACCCTGATATACCTGGGGCAAAGGAATATGGTATTACAAGGTATGATTTGTAGAAATAAAATTATTTGAAAAGTTAAGCAATAGCAAAAAAATAGTACTGTGAATTCACTTAATTTTGTGGGCATGAAATTTCATGGTTTTGTCACAAAGAGCAATTTTTTTTGGACTCTAAAATTTGTGGACTGTTTATTTTTCCAAAAGGGAAACTGTAAATAATCCAATGCATAATAATCTAACAGGAGATGAAATGAAATTTCATTGAGTCTTAAATCTGTGGATTGACATATCCATGAAAACCACAAAAAAATTAGTTTCCCATAAATGATACTGATTTTGCAAATTTTAGGTTACTTTTTATGCTTTAGATTAACAGCAAATAATGATAAAGAATTTGTACTTTTTTCATGGCCCCCCCTTGATCTCACTGGATTCTGTCTCAGTTGCTGACTGGTAAAGTCCTGGGCATTATTTTTTTCATGCGGAGTATCTATCAATCAACTTGTAGAAGATTTGTGGATGTACATAGAAGCCCACATCTACATGAAATGATATTCAATTTATAATTTGGCCATTTGACCTCAGTATAGCCAGTTTTCATTTTTCAGTGTTATTAATTATCGTAATTAAAATAAAAATAAAAACTTAAAAAATTCTAAAAAAAAAACAGAAGAAAAAAACAGAAAGAAAACACAGGAAAATAAAACAAGATTTCTTTTTTTTCCAGTGATGATTTGTTTTCCTTGCCGTATTGTCCCGGTAAAACCCTAGTGGTGGGAGCATCATATGTCTCGCTGGAATGTGGCGGGTTTCTACAGGCACTGGGTCTTGATGTTACGATTATGGTACGCTCAATCTTGCTGAGAGGGTTTGATCAACAGATGGCTGAGAAGATCGGAGAATACATGGACAAACATGGAATGAACTTTATACGACCATGTGTCCCTACAAAGGTAAGAATAAGGCAAATGATGCCATGATTTGAACTTAGATATTAATTTGCTTAATGTACATATCAGAAATGTGGCTTTGTGTGGGATAACTATGAAACTAAATTTTGTCATTAAACTGAGACTGATTCATGAATCAAAGTCCCGATGTGTTGAAGTTGTTACACAAGCCCCTCCAATTTTGACTAAGTGGAGTTCTACTGTACAGTGTTATAAGCTGTAATTGAAGGGGAGATTCTATGAAGTTGTGTCATGAGAATTTCACCCTTTCTGGGTTTTTTAGCTTCATTCTCATAAAGTAAGTAATAAGTCACATGAAACTTATTTGTGATTAATTAAGAATTAATCAGTACTAGTCAATGAGTATACTTATTCCTGATGGTGTCCAAACCCTCTGGGTCAGTAGAACCAAATGTGTGTGCCTGAAATGTTGCACATAGATGCAGGTATTTGGTGTTTCCCATTTGTTAATGAAGAAGAGTTTGATTATAGCAATGCTGTATATTATTAATAATGTGATAAAATTATTGTTGTATTATATCTTCAGATAGAGCAGTTAGAGGAAGGTAAACCAGGAAAATACAGAGTTACAGGACAATATAATGATGGAACACCTTATACAGATGAATTCAACACTGTATGTATATTTTTATAAGTTCAATTTTTGAGATTTCATAATAAAATCATGGGTTTCTACACCCATACTTGGGAATTGCCCATGTCTGTCCATCACACTGACAAAGCAGTAGAATGTGTGGGCATCTGTGTTCTTTGGGCACATTTCTACATTGTAACAAATTCATTCATTCAAGAATTTTATAAGACACATTGACTTTCATCCTGATCCTGTTTTTTAAGAATATTTGAATTGCTCTGTGTATATTGTAAATTGTAACATGTATATATATTCTGAGAATTAAATTATATTCTGAGAAATAAAATATGTTTAAACTAATTTCATTTTCATAATGTTTTAGAGAGAGAAATAAATAATATATTTTCTTTCATCCCAATATACATTTCTGAAATTTCATTTTGCCAAGCTTTTTCTTTCAAGTCAAATCTCTTTTTCTGTGTTTATTAACATGCTGAAAATTAAATAATTTTACAATTTGTGCACGCTTTTGCATCCTTTTCATGTGTTTTAATTTTTACCAAATTTAGTTTAATGTTTTCTTTTGGCATATTTTAACAATTTTTTAGTTGACATTTTATTATGTACCTTTTTGCTTTATTCTGATGTTTTTGTGGTATATGTTTCAGGTGTTATTTGCTATAGGCAGAGATGCATGTACAAACAATATAGGACTGGATAAAGTGGGCGTAAATGTCAACAAGTGAGTGCTTACTTTATGTTTTAAATGAACTCAACTGAGGTTTTTGGCACAAAAGCAACTGGAAAATAATTTTTTAAAGATTTTAATTCCACTTGATTTGGGTCTTTACCAATAACTTTTGTGTAAAATCATTTTTTCACTTTCTTTTGCCAGAATTACCATAAGGTGGAAAACAAGATAAAAACGAAAAGCATCTAAATGCTCAGGCTCAGAATCTTACTAGATATTGATTCTCAATTTCATTTTGTGTATTTCTTTATCTTTTAATTATCTTTTAGCTTTAAGTGCCCCAGTTGGTCTATACAAGTTTTTGAAATTCATATTCGGACCTCATTAGACTTTGTTAACCCATATAAGATTAAATAAGTAACATCATATACAGGTTTTTTCTATCATTTCTACGCATAGCATATAATATATATGACCTAACTTGGTATAGGAAGTCAAGTTACAGAAACAAGAGAATTCTAAGTATTAAATTGAAGTAAAATTTAGGAAATCTATTTTTTGTGATTTTCAGTGCACGCGAATATAGCGAAAGTTTAGATACTCGCCCCAAAAAAAACCTGATATACGGTATTCTATGTTAAGTCACAGGACAAGATGAGAGATCTTTTTACAGGATACTGTATACTTACTTGCCTTGAAAATGAATCTTGTGTTATAGATCAGAATCTTTATTGGTTTGTCCAGTTATATCACATTGACTTGTTTTGTTTACAGAAGTGGATTTATACCAGTAGATGACAATGAACAAACCAATATATCAAACATATATGCTATAGGTGATATTCTTGAAGGTAAACCTGAGCTGACACCAGTTGCTATACAGGCTGGTCGACTTCTAGCCAACAGATTGTTCTCAAATAGTACAACTTTAGTAAGTAACTTGTGTTTTCATTAACTTGATTACTAAGACTTCTTGCATGACAGAGTTGGTGGTCCGACATCAACCCCTCCAACCCCCTTCCCAAAAAGTGCTTGAACAATCCTTAAGTGTGATAGAAATTATAAATATAATTGATAGATTTTATCAAGGTTCACTTAGGTTTTGACTTAATTAAAGTTGTTTTCATGGCTGATACTAAGGAAATTGAATTAAAACTTCTGTCATATTTCATTATTTTTTGATATAACACATCTTATGACATACTTGAGAAGCCTAGTAATTATCTGCACTGTTTAAGACTTGATGGGAATCGATAAAATCAAAGCAACCTTAATAGTATGGTTTTGCTCAGTATTTTTTAACAACAGAAAGCGTTGTAAAAGTGAAAATTAAGGAAGTACAATACAGATTTGTCAATAGAACATTGCCTGTTACAGACTGACTACAAGAAAGTGGCCACTACAGTATTTACTCCACTAGAATACGGAGCTATTGGCTATTCTGAAGAAGATGCCATCAAAGAATTTGGCGAGTCAAGCATAGAGGTGAATATATCTGAGATAACAAATTTGTAGTCCAAGTTATATTAGTCTATTAGCTCACCTGAGCTTGTTGGTTGAGTTATATGAATTTACATAGTATCATATAGGTAAAAACCTTTAAAAAATGTTTTGTCAGCAAATTGTAGGCTTAGAGTTTAGGTATTTGCATGTTGTATGTCATAGTGTTTTTTAGCTCACCTGTCGCAAAGTGACAGGGTGAGCTTTTGTGATCGCTTTTCGTCCGGCGTCCGGCCGTAAACTTTTACTTTAAATGACATCTCCTCATAAACCACTAAGCCAATTTCATCCAAACTTCACAGGAATGTTCCTTTGGTGGTCACCTTTAAAAATTGTTCAAAGAATTTAATTCCATGCAGAACTCTGGTTGCCATGGCAACCGAAAGAAAAAACTTTAAATATCTTCTTTTAAAAAACCATAAGAGCTAGAGCTTAGATATTTGGCATGAAACATCTCTAGTGAGTGTCTACCAAGTTGTTCAAATAAAAGCCCTGGGGTCAAAATTGGCCCCGCCCCGGGGGGTCATTGATTTTCCCTATATGCATATAGTAAAAACTTATAAAATCTTCTTTTAAAGAACCCAAAGGGCTATGGCTAAGATATTGAGCATCAAACATGTTCTAATGGGTGTCTACCAAGTTTGTTCAAATAAAAGCCCTGGGGTCAAAATTGGCCCCGCCCCGGGGGGTCATTGATTTTCCCTATATGCATATAGTAAAAACTTAAAAAATCTTCTTTTAAAGAACTCAAAGAGCTATGGCTAAGATATTGAGCATCAAACATGTTCTAATAGGTGTCTACCAAGTTTGTTCAAATAAAAGCCCTGGGGTCAAAATTGCCCCGCCCCAGGGGGTCATTGATTTTCCCTATATGCATATAGTAAAAACTTAAAAAATCTTCTTTTAAAGAACCAAAAGAGTTAGAGCTAAGATATTTAGCATGAAACATGTTCTTATAAGTGTCTACCAAGTTTGTTCAAATAAAAGCCCTGGGGTCAAAATTGGCCCAGCCCCGGGGGGGTTATTGATTTTCCCTATATGCATATAGTAAAAACTTAAAAAATCTTCTTTTAAAGAACTCAAAGAGCTATGGCTAAGATATTTAGCATCAAACATGTTCTAATAGGTGTCTACCAAGTTTGTTCAAATAAAAGCCCTGGGGTCAAAATTGGCACCACCCCGGGGGTCATTGATTTTCCTTATATGTGTATAGCAAAAACTTAAAAAATCTTCTTTGAAAAAACCCAAATAGCTAGAGTTAAGATATTAAGCATGAAACATCTTTTAGTGAGTGTCTACAAAGTTTGTTCAAATAAAAGACCTGGGGTCAAAATTGGCCCGGGGGGGGGGGGGTCAATGATTTTCTTTATATGTGTGTAGCAAAAACTTAAAATCTTCTTTGAAAAAACCCAAATAGCTAGAGTTTAGATATTAAGCATGAAACATCTTCTAGTAAGTGTCTACAAAGTTTGTTCAAATAAAAGCCCTGGGGTCAAAACTTGCCCGGCCCCAGGGGTGTCATTGTTTTTAACTATATGTGTATAGTAAAAACTTTAAAAAAATCTTCTTTTAAAAAGCCCAATGAGCTAGAGCTTAGATGTTTAGCATGAAACATCTTCTTATGGGTGTCTACCAAGTTTGTGCAAATAAAAGCCCTTGGGTTAAATTTGCCCTGCAACGTTGGGGGTTGGGGGGCCTATATACAGGTGAGCGACCTCAGGGCCATCATGGCCCTCTTGTTTATTATATTCATTCAAATCATGGCTTTGTGCTCAAAATTGATCTCACCCCAGGGTGTCACGTTTTTAAATAAAGTTACATAGAAAAAAATTCAAGAACAAGTTTTGTCAGAAAATGTAGTTTCTTTAGTTTTGATATTTGGTGAGTAGCATTATCTAATAGGTGTTTACCAGATTTGCTGAAATCAAGGTCTTGACTTTATCCTTGTCTAGGTCATAGCAAAAATGTATATCAGATCATATTATTTAACTAAATGCCTTCTGTCCTTGGAATTTAAAAATTGTGAACTTTTTGTATTGCACATGATAAAAGTGATCAATTTCAGTTGAAGAATTAATTTACAACTTACTTATGTTAACAACAACTTTGTATTTGACTTTATATAAGCATATGGTATGTGTTAACATTTTGAAGTGCCAGTTTTGCAGCTACCGCTGTCTAATGTATATCTGTACATACTTGAAAAAGTTTTTTTCTGCTTGGCTGTAATCTAGCTACGAACGTACCCAGATAAGGTATGAATCCTGCTTTCAAAGGGAGTAAGAATTGTTAAAGGAAATTGTGGTTTACTTTCGTTTACTTGATTCATTACAGTTATAGACATTGTATTATTGTTGCAACTGTATTGTAAAGATGTTTATAATTTTCAGGTGTTTCATACAAACTTCCGTCCTCTAGAGTGGACAGTGCCTCATAGAGAAGATAATGCCTGCTATGTTAAACTTATATGCCTTATTCCAGATGATGTAAGTACTGTGCTTTATGATAAGGTGTTCACTTTACTTTAAATAGTAATCAGGAATATAAAGTCTGTTTATATCCCTTGCCCTGTTTAATATTAAATGGACTTTAACCATTTTCTGGGAAATTTTCTAAATATGTGCTGACTAAACAGTGCAGACCATGATCAGACAGGTATGGGATGTGCTGGCTGATCCTGATCTGAATGCCTGTCTAATCATGGTCTGCACTGGTCACATGAGTATATTTAGTTGCCATAAGCAGGCTATCAGTTAGATACATTCTTGCTTATGAAATCAACTCTTTAAGACTTATTGTTTATGTCTTAAACATGCATAGAACTATTTTTTTAAACAGATTATGAATGTTAAGTGATATATATAAAAACATTTTTGAATTGATCATCCTCAAAATCTTTTGTTTTTCTTAAAAATAAGTTCATAATTTTGTGCGACTTGGCAGATGTAAAGCAAAGTGACAAATGTAAAGGTTATTCTTACTTTCAGATGCGTGTGATAGGACTTCATGTGCTTGGTCCTAATGCAGGGGAGATAACCCAGGGATATGCTGTAGCAATGAAGCTCAATGCAACCAAAGCTGACTTTGATGATACTATAGGTATCCATCCCACATGCTCCGAGGTAAGAGGATATTGTTAACCCTTAATCTCCCTAAATGTCTTAAATGAGCTTGCCTGTCTTTCAGTCTGGACAAAACCATTCATCAGTTTTAGGGGAAAATTCAAAATACAATGTATGTACTGACAGAAAAGGAAACGGTGCAGATCATGGTCAGACAGAAAGGATGTACCAGCTGATTTTGGTCTGCTTTGGTCCCATAATGAGATTCTTCTGCTATCAAGAGGTTAAATGTTAATCAAATCTGTTAGTTATTTTCTTACTTACTGGAAATGTTTTTTTGATTTCTTTAAATTTATGTCTGTCTGTATGGTTGATATCCTTTTACTTAAGTTTATTCAGCTTCAGTAGCAAAATAATTTTATGTCACAAAACTCTTCTGAGAAGAGCAAATATGTTGACATATATTGTTATATAACTGCAATGATTAAATTCTGAAAGGATTTAAAATGTTTAATTATTTCATACTACAATGTTTTAAGGCCAAAATCTTGATATATTTGCATTCCTTTGTCACAGTGGAACTTAGATCTTCGTTCTTCTTCATTCATGATAGTTTGTTCTTTATTCAATATGGCAAAATACCATGACTGTTGAAAATACTTGCTCAGCATCTCATTTATGCTCTTTAAAGTGTAGTTTGGATGAAAATAGAAAAACATGAATTTTTTTACAAATTTCAATATAATTATAATAATAGTTTTAGTTAAAAAAAATTTGTTCTGAAAGTTTTTAGTCCACCTGTGCTCGTTTCATAGTTTCATTTATATCGGAAAACTTATCAATGGCAATGCATATTTCAGGTATTTACTGTATTAGATGTTACCAAGAGGAGCGGTGGTGATGTTAGCCAGTCTGGTTGCTGAGGTTAATCCCTGCTGCTGAACTTATTCACAATAAACTGACAACCAGTCGACTTTAAAGATTCTTCAATTCATGGAACCAGACGTTAATTGTGTAACCAGTCCAGTTCTGAACAGTCTACAGATTAGTAAACAAGTGAACACTTGTGGAACCAGTCTACTTCTTAGAACACTGAAATTAAAATATTAACATTTAAATAAAAAAAAAACATATGATAGAGGTATTTGACAGATACTGAATACAAATGGAATTTTAAAGACTGCATCAAAGTATTACTGATTCTTATCATTTTGTTCTTTCAAAAAAGTCTAGTCAAACTTTGTGGGGTTAGTGATTCTTTAATGATAAAGATCTTTCGACAGACAGAATTTAAATATGCCTGTTATGAATACAGGAGTTTTACATTGTTGATGGACATTGATATAACTGAATAGTTGTACAATTATTTTTCTGGTTTATTTGATGTTTTGAAGAGTTTATTGTTTTGACAGGTTGGTTTCAAGTTTTTAGTGAATTCAGCAGCAGGGCTTTATGCTTTTTGGTGAATCAGTCTAGCTTTTGCAGACTGTGCTCTGCTTGTATGACAGACTGGTCCAAAAACTCAAATGAGTTGGACTGGTCTTGATGTAAACTAGACTGATTCACAATTTTTTGTAATAACATGGCAGGTAAGAGGTGGAGATCCATGTCTTTCAGGCTTGAAATTTTACAAGTTCTTTTTGCTTGTTATAAAATCCAAGCAAAGTGGAAAATGTAAGGAAAGAGAGATTTGAATGGATGAATTTAGATTGACTTTCTGATTGATTTTAAGTTAATTCTTCGCAAAAAATCATAGAATTTTAAGCAAATTAATATCTTCAAGATTAAGATAAACTTTCATGCATAGATGCAAAACTTTTTGTGTCTTCATTTTGTATTGATTATATTGTTTTGCATCAACCCATTGTTTGTCATGCATTATATTATATGCATTTTAAACTTCATTAACTTTGAAATAGACAATGTTCTTCTTGATATTGGTTATAAACATGTACTATGTTTAAAAAACTTGGGAAATGTTCAAGTGCTCTATGTGACGATATATTCCTAGTGTTGTATGAAGAATTATTGTGATGAATAGAATGGTAATATACCATAATAGTTTGTTCCTGACTTACAATATTTACCTCCCTTTAGAATGGTAATATACCATAATAGTTTGTTCCTGACTTACAATATTTACCTCCCTTGCCAAAAATGAAAAATGACGGCCACATTTGGGGTCAATATTTTACGTAATATAATTGTCAATATTCTATATAATACACACTGTAATTAGACAAAATATGAAAATGTTAATATAAATAGCTGATTTTGGTTAATTGTCAAAAAATTTTACACATTATTATAACACTAATATGTGAAAGGTTTTTATTAGTTTTCATGAAAATGATATAGATAGAATGTGTGAGATATTTATCTAATATTAACAATATAATATATTGGGAATGACCAGGGGAGGTAATAATTGCTATGTGAAAAGCATCTATATGAAACAGTATTGTACCATAACATATTACCTTATAAGGATATATAATAGTTCATCTTAAATAGTGACAGCGATGTTGCACAAACATGTATTTATTATTCATTTTGATGAAATTACAGTATGTCATATTTTATTTAGAGAAGCATCTCAGAATAAAAAATCTTAAATGAAAATGAAAATATACACATGTACCTGCAATACAAAGAAATTTGAAGCTTTAATCAAAAGTGATTTATATTTTTTACATTATTGTAGCTTTGAATAATGGAGATCTAACCTTTGAAAGACTTCAAATTTTATGCTAAGAAATTATTAATTTCTGTTTTATGTCAAGTGATTTTTGTAAGCAATAATTTACATTTGAAGATATAATTTATATTTTCACTTGATAGATATTATATTGTATCAATTTTGGCCTATCTTAACTTTGGTTTTTGTTTCTTTCTTTTTTTATTTCACATTGCTCATCTGTATGTTTCTTAATGATTTTTTTGCACATTTTGCTTAAAGGAATCCTTTTTGTTTCTTTGTTAATAGACTGTGCTGTGTAACATTGAAATCATGTCGTAATCAATTAGATATGTGTAACAATTTTTTAATAATACATGTATATTTTTGACTGACCAAAAAGTACAAAATTAGCTGCATGTACTTTCTACTATTTGCCCCAGATGTAGGTAGTGGACGTCTTATTTGTGATATAAGAATCATGAAATTTATCAGCTTAAAGTGCATTAAAAAAACTTGATAAGTGCTAACAAAATAAAAAGTGCTAACCAAATAAAAAAGTGCTAACAAAATAAAAAAGATACACATCTGTTATGATAACATCATGAAATTAGTAAAAGAAAAAAATAATTGGTTATTGTTTCAAATAAAACTGTTATGAAATAATTGTCTTTGTCATTTCTTTGTTTTGGAGTGAGCTTTTAGCTTTGAGATAAGAGAGTATAATTGTAACATAACGTAACATACATTCAAACTGATTTTTTAAAGTTTCTCTGAGTCTTGGCTCTCAGTTGTAAACATGGCTATGAGTCCTCCAGCTTAGCTCAGTAGGGAGAGCATCTGATATATAAACTCTAGGTTGCTTGTTCAATCCCTGGATAAGGCAATTTTAGTCCTTGAAAGTTGACCTGTGACATTGAGTCTTATGGTTATTTGCCTATCAAAAATCATGTTGGATTAATACGGTACTTGTTCAGTTGCAGTTACTGGTATTAGTTATCTAGGGAAGCAGTTTTGGTGGACTGCATGCCAAGGTATTACCAAAAATGTGTTAGAATCTGCTTACTTGAGAAACAAATAAAAACAACAAATAGGGTTATTGATGCCACGGAAAAATGTAAACTTTTGCTATTTCTTACTCTTATATAAAGCTAAGAACATGTTTTTAGCTCGACTATTCGAAGAATATGACAGCTATTGTAGTCACCCCGGCGTCGGCGTCAGCGTCCGCGTCGGCGTCTGCGTTGGTTAAAGTTTTTTGTAAAGTCAAATATCTCAATTATTACTTGAGATATTCAATTGAAACTTACAATACTTATTAATAGTAACAAGGTACATCAGATAGACAAGTTTGATAACTCTGCCTACAATATTGACATTTATGCCCCTTTTTAACTTAGAAATTTTGGTTAAAGTTTTTTGTAAAGTCAAATATCTCAATTATTGCTTGAGATATTCAATTGAAACTTACAATACTTATTTATAGTAACAAGGTACATCAGATTGACAAGTTGGATAACTCTGACTACAATATTGACAGAATTATGCCCCTTTTTAACTTAGAAATTTTGGTTAAAGTTTTTTGTAAAGTCAAATATCTCAATTATTGCTTGAGATATTCAATTGAAACTTACAATACTTATTTATAGTAACAAGGTACATCAGATTGACAAGTTGGATAACTCTGCCTACAATATTGACAGAATTTTGCCCCTTTGGAACTTAGAAATTTTGGTTAAAGTTTTTTTGTAAAGTCAAATATCTCAATTATTGCTTGAGATATTCAATTGAAAATTAAAATACTTTTTTATAGTAACAATGTACATCAGTTTGCAAAATTGCATAACTCTGCCTTGCAATATTTGCAGAATTATTTGCCCCTTTGAAACTTAGAAATTTTGGTTAAAGGTTAAAGGTCTTCAAAGATATTTACTTGAAACTTTACACATGCACTTAGGGTCATAATTGGAGGGTCATAATTGTATGTCACTGACCAAGTTCCATAACTCTATCTTGCATTAAGGCTGATTCATATCCCCTTTTCTACTTAGTCTCTTGGTTAATGTTTACATGCAAGTTTTACATATCTCAATAACTATTAAAGATATTTATTTAAAACTTCACATATGCATTTAGGGTCATAATTGTAGGTCACTAACAAAGATCCATAATTCTATCTTGCATTTAGGCTGATTTTTCTCCCCTTTTTCAACTTAGAAATTCATTTGTAAGCTGTTATCTCAATAACTACTAATGGGTTTGTGCCTTTTTTGGGACAATTTTATGCATTCATAATAATTAAGCAGTGATTTACTTGATAAAACATCTTAATAACAAGCCTTTGTACCTTTTCTGTCAAATTTATGTATTCATAGGTAATTAGTATTATTATACTCAATAAAACACCCTTGTGACATTACCTTCCGAATAGTCAAGCCAATACTGTTTAATTAGACTCTCTAAGGCCTATAACAAGAATTTATAAAAAAAATAAGCCCTTTTGTAAACTTAAAAAATTTAAATTATCAAGGCTCTTTTATTATCAAGCACTTAGAATAGTCGAGCGTGCTGTCCTACAGACAGCTCTTGTATTAGATTATAATGGTGTCAAAATTAACAAACTTTTATGTTATTACTGCCGTTGTACATGTAGTTTAAGCTTCATCATGATGAAAACTTGAAGATTATTTGAATCACTCCTGAGTCATATTCCTGGAACTATACAATACTGTTGTCATATGTGGTAACCTGGTTTTGGTCCCAGCAGGGCCTGCACCCACAATGCCTATGTTCAGATAAAACGGGTTTAAATAAATGTATGACTAGTTTGCTTTTACATTTCTTACAGGTTTTATTTATTCTGTTTTTCCCTATATATGAAATAACCTCTTAAAACTTGGAAATATCAAATGCTGGTATATATTCCAAACCATAAGTTGGGTTACGTAGAAGACTTTGCTTTTACTGATTTGTAATGGAAAGGCACAATTATATCAAAGCTACAGGTTGCCCTATATATTATTAGTTATAAAGATGTCCGAAAAGTGATACAGGTTGTAATCTTATTTAAAGTAAGACCATCCGGTTGGCTCAATAGGTAGAGTGCTAGACTGTAAATCAGGCAAGCAGGGTTCAAATCCTTTCTACTTTCATTCACAATGTACCTCTACTCTGGTATGTACAGAAGTTATCAGTTCCTTGTGAAAGTGAAGGAAACTAGTTCTGATTAATGGCTTGACAACTTTCCCAGGAACAATGCGGTGGCTGAAGTGTGCTCAGGTAATTTGAATGTTTTTTTTACAGCCATGATATGGAAGGTAAACTACCACTACCACCACATAACCTAAGCAACTAGGGTGAGGCACTTGTATCAGGTACCCCTGAAATACTTTTTTCTACAGCTCTACTGGATAAAGTAAGTGTTTTGGTCTTGAATTACCAAAAGATACTGAAATACATGTATAACTAATTCTTTTAAAGGAAGAAATTAGACATTAAATTGATTTACATTAATTAGACATGAGAGAAAGTGACTTATTGAAGATTTTAGCATATTGTGTGACATTTCGCAAATAAAGTTTTACTGTAAATAAATATTTTCTGGTACACACTTCTGCTAGATAGGGTAGTTTGTAAATGTTACACCTAGTCTAATTTTTTTATTATCGTTATTGAAAGTAGTCGCATTCAACTGAACATAGTGGGGAAAAATGTTATGTGACATGTGGTTTTGTGTATCTTAATCCCGTGTGTTTTCTTGCCATCATTTGTCTGATAAGTGAGATTGTTTTTGAGGAGTGTGAAAATGCCGTATACACATATAGTGGCCGAATATTAACTAATTTATGTGCCGATCAATAAACATTTCTCAGCTGATCATGATCATTCAGGCGCATTTGTAACATGACCGATGATGAAATTTTGGAGTTAAAAGTTGTAAATTATTGAAAATGGCACTTAGAAAAAATGTTCTGAAACAATTAAATGTATTTAAACGCAGTTTAAATGCTTATCAAGTGAGAAACAAGTCAATTACTGGCTATCAAAGAGCGGATGATGCCCTTCAAACCGTGACCGGCGGACGAATAAATCGGTGGCTAGACGCTTATGAAGATTTCGTTGGGCTCTCAGAAGTTCGACAGGCACAAGAGCAGGTTACTACGGTATGACTGCACTCGTTATTTCTCAGAGGATAAATCAGTTAGTTATGACATATAATCAGGAATAAAAAAAATAAGGACTAGACTTTAGAATATATCGGCAGCTATTTTACACATTTTTTTTCTTGCAGAATTTATCAGTTTCTGTTTCTATTAGCATCGTACAGATTGCTTATAGGGTTGCCGTCCAGGGTTAGGGTAAGTGTTATTGGTTAGGGATAGAGGGGTAGGATTAAAGCATATGAATTTCGCTGCGACCAGATTCGAAATGTGCTCTGGCTAGACATATGAGCCAGTATTACTTAGCAATAATAGTTATAGCAGTTCAAGATTAAATCTGTTCACTTCAAACCACTAGTCTCTCGCGCCCCTGTGCTTTGAATCCCACCAGCAACTTTGCATTCTGTCATGGGAGGATTGCCGAGAAGCAATCCAACTAGTTCAGTAGCTTACAGAATGTCAGTGGTTTTACATGGGTGCCAGTTTGTAGCAGAAATAATGCACAAAGTGGTCTTTTGTTAGCTTTGCAGGCAAAGTCTACTTAGTCCACTTCTGTGTTGGCATGCCATAAAACCAAACAGTGTAGTGCAGAATTTTCCATTGCAAACTTGTGTTTCCAGAAGAAGCATTTACAATATATAATGGGTACTTAAATTGTTAATCAATTTACATTATTAGGGATCTTTGCCTTTATATGAAAATTGTCCTAATTTCACTTTGGACCCACTTGTTAAAAATCAAACAAGCCTGAAAATGCGGAATCACCATAATATTAAAGCCAGAATTTACATCTGTTACAGAAATCTAGTCATTTAAAGATCAATGTAACTTTTTTTATTTTGTCATGATATCATTCTCAATGGTGGGACAACATACATAAAGTATATTGTTTATTAACATGTTTGTCAGTATTAAGATGCTTTGTTTTGACCTTTATATTTTTGCTAAGTTTGCTCTAATATAAAGTTTAATTCTTTTGTATTTTTGTATGATTTTAGGCAGAGACCAATTACAGATGCGTTCAAGAGGAGAGACGAGCCACCCAGCATTCTTTAACCACTGTCCAAAACAAAATTAAGGGTGTGGCTTCAGAAATAGAAAAAACTCAAAGAGGTACTGATACCTATTTAGAACTTGTTACTAAAGAGAATGAAATCATAAAGGAAGAAAAGGAGGTTCTTGAGCAGCTAACTGCAGCCGAAGAAAATGAAAAGCGGGTGTTTGCTCTTCTTTCCTCTGCTGTACGAGAAAGTCATGAAAAAGAAAGGGCAAGGGCAGAGAGAATGAAATATATGGGGATAATTGGTTCAATTATAGGTGCAGTTATAGGAATATTTGGAACTACTTTAAATAACTATCTTAGAATGAAAGAATTAAGAGGTATTGTAACAGATGCCACAGATATGAATCAGGTATACAGAGAGAAGACTGTTGATCTGGGGATGACAATAAACGAACAATATGGTAAAATTTTCCAGCTTTTAATGGACTTACGATCAGAAAAAGGAATTGTAACAGATACTTCAAAGAAAGGCAATGTAAAAGGTAAAGCAGTGGCACCAGTGATAGAAAAAGATGCTAAGCTTGAAGAGATTCTGGCAGCTGTTAAGCAGCATAGTGAATTGTTTGATAAAGAAATGAAGAATATCTCACATGCTTTAGCCAACAGGACATTTAAACATTCTGAAAACAGTGAACCTAATGTAGTCTATGTAGCACCAGACATTGAAGCTATGCTGAAAGACACAGAACAAAATATTGAGTGGAAAATGAAAATGCAGGCATTAGGGACGGTGACTTTAATATATGCTGCAGCGGCTATATCTGTCCCAATACTATATAAGTTATTTGGTGGCAGTTGATAATTGTATAAATGTAGACCTAAATTACAATGATTGACGCTAAAGGCATTCTCACAGCTTTAACAATTGCTCATTGGTATGTGATACCTTATTATGAGGATAATGGATATTTAAACAGATACAATGAATGAATTTTTTCAAAATTTTTAGGTGTATGTACAAACAAATATTTGCAAGTTTCTGTTTTTGATATTTTATCAATTAATTATTTTAAGTTTTCTTTGTTGATGTTTTTGTCTAAAGATAGAGCAGAAGAAATGCAGAAAACAAGAAAACTTGGTGAATGTTGGTTATATTTTTAGTCATCAGCTGACTAAGTTTATAAATAATCACACTAGTTTGATTGTGTAGGAAGCTGCAAATAAATGTCAGATCACTCCCTTAATTCATTCCTTGGAACAACCATCGTTAAGCATTGACACCTTCCTGCTCTGGTTTGCTTGGCATCCTGAGTCCTCAGGATCTTCACTCATATTGAGCAAAACACATTTATTAATAGAAGCAGTATATATAAAAGTTATAGTGTGAAAAAATAGGTATTCATTCAAAATCTGTGACCCTTACATGTAATTAATCTAATGGGACATTTGTATCAGAAAAGTAAACTGCAAATTTGACAAGTCTTACTAGAGTTGGAGTGAACATGTTTTTTTGCTCAAAATGAAATTGCTGGAGTAACCTTTCATGAAGTATCAAGCATATTAATTTTTGTTGTTGTTGGTCATAGTATTCTTGGACTTTGACAGTTTAGCCAATGGGCATCTGATTGTGAGTTAATTCTAAGTCATTAGATCAAAGGTTACAGTGACATTTGTGTAAATTCTTTGTACAATCACTCACTTCTGGTTGTTATTTTAAGCTCACCTGTCACAAAGTGACACGGTGAGCTTTTGTGATCGCTTTCGTAGGGAGTCCGTCCTTCAACTTTTACTTTAAACGACATCTCCTCATAAACCGCTAAGCTAATTAAATCCAAACTTCACAGGAATGTTCCTTTGGTAGTCAACTTTAAAAATTGTTCAAAGAATTTAATTCTAAGCAGAACTCTGGTTGCCATGGCAACCGAAAGAAAAAACTTAAAACATCTTCTTTTAGAAAGAGTTAGAGCTTAAATATTTGGCATGAAATATCATCTAGTCAGTGTCTACCAAGTTTGTTCAAATAAATGCCCTTGGTTCAAAATTGGCCCTGCTCCGGGGGTCATTGATTTTCATTATTTGTATATAGTAAAAACATAAAAAATCTTCTTTTAAAAAGCCCAAATAGCTAGAGCTTAGATATTAAGCATGACACATCTTCTAGGGGGTGTCTACCAAGTTTGTTCAAATAAAAGCTCTGAGGTCAAAATTAGCCCCATGCGGGAGATCATTGATTTTCTATATATGTTTATAGTAAAAACTTAAATGTCTTATAAAAAACCCAAAGAGCTAGAGTATAGATATAAAGCATAAACTATCTTCTAGTAAGTGACTACCAAGTTTGTTCAAATAAAAGCACTGGGGACAAAATTGGCCTGCCCAGAGGGGGGGTCATTGTTTTTCCATATAATTATTATGTGTATTGTAAAATCTTAAAAAATCTTCTTACAGTTAGAGCTTAGATATTTATCATGAAACATCTTTAAATGGGTTTCTACCAAGTTTGTTCATATAAAAGCCCCTGGGTTAAAATTGGCCACACCCTGGGGGCCTATATACAGGTGAGCCAATTCAGGGCCATCATGGCCCTCTTGTTTTATTTTTCATATGAGTCCTATGTCACATTATTAATTTTGCTCTTTTCACATTAGCACATACTTCGAGCATATGATGCTCCAACATTTACCTAAATACCCAAAGATAATCTTGTATAATTATATACTTAAGCTATTGCTAATAGACTCCAAACTTTGCCTTATGAGTAGAACTTAAAGGTACATTTTCTTATCATTACAGTCTTCATCTTGTGAAGTTGAATTGTTAATGGGAGACTCTCAAATCTTAAAAGCTGACAACTTTTCATTGTTAGCATTAGAGATCTCTCAAACTGTTGCCAGCTTAAATATAACCCCATGCAACAAGGTTGTAAGGGGGTATACATGTAAACTGGTGTTAAGGTAATTGCTCAAATGAGTTTGAAAATGGGTCGGCTTGGATAAAAAACTAGGTCACATGATCTAAAAATAGAGGTCTTGTGAACACTCTAGTCTAGTGGCTACTGTTTTGACCCAAATATCCTCAAAATTGGTTGTTTTGGTAATTTCTAGGTAAATAAAGGTCACCTGGAGTCAAAAACTAGGTCACACAACCCAAATATATAAAAACCTTGTTAACACTCTAGAGGCTACTGTTTTGATCCAAATATCCTAGACATTGGTGAGAAAGGTTGTTTTGATGATTTTTAAGTCAAGTTTGAATAATTATGCTTCACCTGGGGCCAAAAACAAGGTCACACAGCTGAAATATAAAATAAACCTTATTAGCACCCCTGGGGCTACTGTTCCAGTCCAGGTTGTTTTCATGATATCTAGGTCAAGTTTGAATATGGGTCATCTAGAGTAAAAAACTAGGTCATACAGCCCATGAATGGAAAAAATTTAACACTCTAGAGTCTACTGTTTTGATCCAAATATCCTGGGAATTGGTGAGAAAGATTGTTTTTGTGATTTCTAAGTCAATTTTTAAATAGGGGTCATCTTTGATTAAAAAGTAGGTCACACAGCCTAAATAAAATGGGATTGAGCATTCATAATAAGGTGAGCGATAAAAAGGCCATTATGGCCCTCTTTTGGACTAAAAGACTAGAATTTTCGTTTGAAAAAAAAATGCTTGCATTTATTAAAAATATAGTAACACAGGAATAAGAATATACTTTCAACTGAACCACTAAAACAGTATGTTTTGACTTTCAATAGACCTCACCTCAATTTACCCTATTAGGCTCCTCAATAGATAGCTGCACTTTAAGCTACATCTGTGAAATAAGCATTTTAAGTCCCAAGCTACATGGTAAGATTAGCACAATTCATATAGGCTTCGATATGAACTTTGTTCAGATAAATTGTACGACATTGTGCATTTTTGTTATGCACAATATCGTATATGACATTTGCTATGTATCGTGAATACACTGTTATAATTTGCCCAACTGATGCACAAAAACTTTGTCTAGCTAAAGGTCCATATTAAATGGACTAGGCCACTATTATTCATGGATATATATACTGATCTACATATCTCTGAACACAAATGGCATATAACTATAAAAATTTGAAAGCTTTAATGTTCCCTTCTGAATAAAATGTGTTAAATGTTACAATTAGATACATTGCAGCTATTGCCCTTTAATAAATTAGATTTCAGATTTTATTCAATACTGTCATGGTTCATAAGAACTATAATGTTCATAAGAACATGAGAATGACAAATATATTGTACCTATAAAAAAAGATATGACTAGATAACTGGAAATTATGCTTCAATAACAAAATTTCTAGGAGACAAATGATACAACATTATACTTAAATCACTTTTTGTTTCAAAGACATCTTTAGGTTAGTTTTGAAGATTGACGTTAATTTTTACTCCGAGTAGAACAGACGTTTGGAATTCAAGCTTTCAAGGTAGGCTTAATTTCACAGTTCTCTGTTTATTATTTTTGTTTATAGACTGTTTTAATATCTCTGGTCACTTTAGTGCGCAAATATATCTTTAATTATTGTATTTACGTTATTGGAAAGTTATATGATCAGACTTAAACTGCAAATTGTAAAAGAAAATCATGAAATTACGATCTTTGTCGTCAGACGCTTATTGATATATCACTCACTCTAAGTATGTGGTTAATTATCTGCTTAAAGTTAATTATTTGTTACGTATATTTGATAGATTGTTGTTTTTTGATAGCTTTAATTTGAACCCATCAGCTGCTACACATTTTATGTTTTCAATACACTTTGAACTGCATACTTTCGGCCGAACAATTCACTCAGCTCAACCACACACTACTGGTTGGGGACCACCAAAACTGGACAACCACCAAACCAGGACGGCTCCAAAAATGCTTAATTTAGTATTTTCTTTGTTCAGTGGTTGTCAGTTACTTTTATCAACAATAAATGCATGTTTCTTCTAAAATTAAGTAAATAAATTTATTTCAACCTCCGTAAATGGTAATTTACCGTATTTAATGTCTATTTCAAGAATGTTGACGTTGAAATTTGGGGGTCAAGAAAGCAATGCCTGACCTCATATTCCAACTATAATCATTTGCAAAGTAAACAATAGAATATCCAAAACTTCAGCATTTGTTGCTGAAATATTGTATAACATGTTAAAAATGAAAAAATTAAAACACCCAAGCTTTAATCTGAATATATATGTCCGAACACATGGTACTGTAGTGAAGACATTTTAGGTAATTTTTATACCCCCCTTTTCGAGCCTCAGATATAAGTGTCAATTCAATCAGAAATAGACAAACTAGTTTGTTAGTTAGGAGAAGAACCTAGCTGAACTGTATCAAATTTTTAGGTCTCTAGGTTAAAAATTATGAAATCTGTACGGAAAAATGTTCAAAAAGTGTCCGGTTGATGGTCCTCGACCAGTATATACGGCCATTTCATGTTTTATTTGATCTTTTTCTGTTTTAAAAGTGCCTTTCAATATTTTATACACCAGTTGCTTCTGTTTATTCTGGTTCCCTGTCCTATTATGGTCCCATAGAAGTGCGCAAGAGACCAGACTTCGCATCCGTTTTCAATCAGAATTCCTCACCTTTTATCCAATATCCTTATTTCGTAACTCAAAATGTTGTGATTAATCAATTACCCATAATTTTGTATTACTTTCGATGAAAGTTTCAAGTCCTTTTGAGCTTGCTAATTACAATTATAGCTCTTCATTTTTGATTATTCATAGAGAATTATAGTACAAAACAATAATTTCTAGTTACCCTAAAGAATTTTTTATTTCAGATTGAAACATGGGTCTTGCAGCTTCGAGACAAGAGGCATTTTGGGAATCTTGTGGCTTTGGACATGTTGAAAGAGCCAGGCATTTCCTAGAACAGGGTGACATAGATGTAAACTGGGTATCATACACAGTAGGTATCATTTTCACTTGGTCTAAACAGGGCTCCAGATAAGATGCGTATACGCGCAAATTACGCATGGAAATAACACGTTTACGCATTCAAAACAAAATTTAAGCGTATTAAAACGCACACAAAATTCAGGTTACGCATTGAGAAACATTTCTTTCGCGTAAAGGTAACCGAAAGTAAACTCGGTTATTATCTTTATTTTTAATTTCGTTTGTCGAACGCTTAGCAAGCGTCTACCGGTAACTTCTTGTAGTTTCGACCATCATCGGTTGTTATCGTATGTATAGTATGGTGGTTGAATTAACTTCGTATGAATGCTCTGCAATTACCCCAAAGCGTCTAACGGTAACTTCCTGTAGTTCCGACTATCATCGGTTGTTATCGTATGTATAGTAAGGTGGTGGAATTAACGTAATTTCATAAACATATGGTACAATGTCGCTGTCAAAAGTTAAAACGATTGACTTGTATTTTCAGCCGAAAAAAATCGACCCAAAAGTAATTGTGAAGGTTAATTAATTAATAAAATAATTAGCGCTGCCACGTATGAGCAACAGAAACATGCCTCAGGTTCAGATAAAACGAAAGCTGTTTGGAAATGCAAGATTATAAACCACGGATTTATATTACATGTTTTACTCTTTTACATACATTTTAAGGAGTAAAAATACTCCTGCCAAATTTCAGATTTCAAGTTTTACTCATTCACAAAAAAATCAATGAGTAAATACTCATTGCCCTAAAAAATTATCTGGAGCCCTGTCTAAATATGAAAAACTGTTTGCCATTGGGCATAGATATTTAATTTTCTAAGTCATAGAAGATGATAGTTCTAAGGTAATTCCAAGTATGCTCTCGGCTAAATTAAAATAGATTTGATCAGTGTTTTTTTTTTCACTTTTGGGGGAAGGGGGTCGGTGCATTTTTATATTGTTTTCTTTGCGGTGGAAAAGTCAAGCGACTCATTCAACACAAGTTTAAAATACGTCTCTTTTTCTTAATATACGGATCTAAAATATCGATGCATTGCATGTTAAACTTGTTGGGACACCGGGAGTTGCTCCCCTTACCTACCAGAGAACGATTTGTAAACAACCTTGCTTAACAGTAACTCTAACAGGCATAAAATAATTTTCATCAGCAGGGCTCTCGATTGACACGGGGATCCGGGTTTTGACTCGTGAAAATCGGGAAATGCACATATTTGACACGTGATAAAATCTGCTCAAGAGTCTATTTTCTACATGGGATTTTCAGCTATGCAATAATAATTACCTTAAATCCACCCCTAATTATCTATCAAATCCTACATGTGTTCAAATCACACTCATAAAAAATGTCAACAGGCAGTATAAGATGTGTATAAAATGCTTTACACACGGCAATTGTTTATAAATACCCTGTGCACTGAAGCGCGACAATTCAGTGGCTGCAATTTGACAGCGCTAAAAATAGCTCTACACAACTGATAAGAATTACATACTTGAGGTGTCAATTATTGATTGCTTCTGAAGGTTTATAATACGTCTTTCATTTACTTGGAGTACCTGTGCATTTCTTATATATGTTATAAATATTCCTGGTACATTTTTTATTTAAAATTAATATGATATAGCATACCAGTAAAGATATTTTTTTATATTTTATACATTTAATCAGAAAAGCTGCTGCTTATTTTATTCTTTCACAGCAATTCATGTTTTTGTTTTATTTGTTTTTTGTTTTGTTTTTTAGGTGGTGGGGGTATAGACATTTATAATTAGGCATTTTTTTCTGTCAATTTAGACTTTGGAATCTCCAAAAATGACCTCCAATACAGTTATTTTTGTAACATAATAATGATTCATGTAGTCAAATGACACTAGAAAAAAAATTATTTGACTCATGAAAATTTTAGCCAAAGAGTCTTTGACTCGTGAAATTCTGACCCTACTGAGAGCCCTGCATCAGTTAGTTACCAAAAAAAATGATAGGCATTGCAGGCAAATTCTGGCTGCCATATAGGGGAAATTTAGGCTTTGAGGTTAAAAAAACAGACTGTTTTGAGGGGGGAATGGGGCCGAATTTCGCCAAATATTTTGGTGAAAAAAAACACTGTTGATTTATAAATGTAAGCGGAAAATGATTAAATATTGCCATCATGGGTTTGAAGCCTACTCGAAGCACTCAACCATTCTCCCTCAAACAGCACTGGTTCATGAAAAACTGTTTCGAATAGCTGAAATGATACCACAGTTATCTATGTCAATTTTAAGAAACATATAGAAGCTTAATTTAAAGTTTGCTGTACTCAACTTCATTGATATGAATGAAAAAAATATGTTTTATAAAAATCAGGAAATGTTTAGTTTTAGTATTGCATATTCTTTGCTTTTAATGCTCCCACTATTAGATTGCGACCATCTCCTAGAAAGTCTTTTCCCTGAAAATATTTATTTTAATAAAATTATTATGACAGTATATTAAAAACAGATGGTTATAAATTTAATTTGTTAAATTGCAGAATGATTGCTGTCCAATACATGTAGCATCACAGGGAAAACCAGATATTGTTAAATTGTTGCTGGAGCATAAATGTAATGTAAATGTGAGGGACAATGTAAGTTATTGCTTTATTTATTAATCATTAACAAATAAATTTACATAAACAAATAAAGTTTATTACTTTTGTGCAAAGCAATTACATTTGTATTTGAAATTTGATATCAATGAATTGCTATGTTTGTATCATAACTCTTTGGATACAAAATAATTCTCATATGGGTTTCACTTTTATATGCTTTGTGTGTGTAATTATATGATATTATAGTATTAGTAAGTCTCTCAAAACAGCAAAATTTTATTTTGACTTACATGTCAATTTTATCTGAAGCATTTTTTTTTACTTGTCCATACGATATTTATAATAAATTTTTTAGAAAAATTCCTTTTGTCCATACAAGTTGTGATGACAACCTGGGCAGTACAGACAATTGTTTTTGCCACCCTTGCTTTTGTTGAATTTTAAACTTGTATTGTGGGTATTATGGATATCCTAATAGGGTTGATTATAGAAAAATTTATGTTGTACTGTTCATGAAAATTGTTTGTATTTTGTATTTGAAATTTCAGCGTGATAATCTTCCCCTTCACCATGCAGCAATGAAAGGACATGCTGATATTGTACAGACACTTCTAGACGCTGGGTCAGAAATTAATGCCCAGGAAAAGGTAACTTTTCAGCAAGTAATAATTATTGGTTAAGTTACTTCCCTTTAACAATACATAATACTGTGTTTTTAGTAATAGTGTGTTCTTAGATTGACTTTAGTCTGTGAAATATGAGGGATGATAACGTTGACTTGTGATGATGCTTAAGCACAGGTGATTAAAATTTAGTCAACCATTATTATATTGAATTAACAAGATTCTAATTTTCTATTAGAATATGCCAGACATATTCCTATTCATGATGATGGTGTTGTTTTATATTATGAATGTAGATAGTTCGTTCCCAAAACTCGCAGCTTGAATATTCTTAATTTGGGCGCAAGCTTCGGCAGTTTGGAGATGGACAGAAAGAAATAAGTTAAAGGCACATTATGGGTCAGAAATGAGTAAATTTTTAGAAGTGTATATTAATTTTGTAGATAAAAGTCATGTTATCGTGTCATTTTATCTGATTCTGATTACTGAATATATTTCTATAGACATGTAGATCTTATATAAAATCTGTATTTATACTATATAGAATGGATGGACAGCACTTCACAATGCAGCATACTGGTGTCATCCGGAAGTGGTTCGTGTCTTGTTGAAAAATGGCTGTGATGTTCATATACAAAATAAGGTATTGCATGAAAATAATGTATGGTCAGTACATGCAGATAATCTATGCAGAAAACATTTTGCATTAAGGCTGTTAATAGGTGTCTGAAAATAATTTTTAGATAAAATATTGTTTAAGTCTGTGTATAATCAGGCAAGTTGTAAGGCATTGTTTTCAGGACACAGAAGAGTAATACAGAAATCAGGTTGCATTGCAAAACACCTGTACATTCGTGACTAATAAGTTAGTAAACATAACGAAAATATACAAACATGGGATTTCTTCATTCAGCTACAATTTAGATGTTCTTTTATATCTTGAATGAATATTTTTGTATGGTTTCTAAATGTTGCAGACTAACCATATGGTGTATTACTGTTTTAGCGTTGCAGTGGATCATAACTATTGTTTTTCACTAAACAGAATACAATCCAAATAATGTCAGGACAAAAAATTTAATCCTTTGTACAGGATGAGAGGACAGCATTACACGAGTGTGCCCGCTCGCAGCAGAAAAATGACCAGAAGCTTGGCGAGATAGCTCAGATATTGATTGATGCTGGATGTGATATAAATAGTAAAAGTAGTGACTGGGGAGAGGTGAGTTATATATAATAAATAAGATACAAAAATTGTGAGGAACCAGTGTTACAACATTACTGAAAAATATGTATAACAATGAAATGTGTGGGCATCTGTGTCCTATAGACACCTTTAGTTATGCCTGTAGATGTATCATCATTGAACCCATGATTAACTAAAATGCGTTTTTGTTATTATTCATAACATTGTTAATTAAAACAGAAACAAATTTTAATTGAGAAGAAAGATTATTTTCCTATTCAACTCAAAGAAAGATAAATTTAAACCTACCTGTAGAAAATGCTCTGAGACAAGAAAACTATGTGTAAAATCTGGAAAAAGGGAAAAAAACGTTTTCTACCAAAGCCAAGTTATACCGTCTTTATTTTTGAAGATTACCTTTGAATGATACATGATGTACTCTGTTATTTTTTTTCCAGGCTGACCTGACTGGTTTGATGTATGCTTCATTTCACAACCATCCTGATGTAGCTAGCGCACTTATTGAGGCCGGATGTGAACTAAATTCTGTTGGAACTGTAAGTACAAGCTTTGTAGAGCCTGTACTAAAAATTTGTACAATAGACTTGCCCAGCTTTGTATTTGAAACTGACAATTTTTGATCTGGGGGTATCTTGATTGTACAGATGTCCACGCGTAGGGGTGTCTGTGGCCAAGTGGTTAAGTCATTGACTTCAAACCACTTGCCCCTCAACACTGTCGGTTTGAATCCCAACAGGGGCTTTGGATAATATTACATGTATGTAAGGAAGCTATCCAGCTAGCTTACAGAATGTTGATAGTTCTACTCAGGTGCCTGTTCATACCTGAAATAATGGACCGAAGGGCACCTGAGGGTTTCCACCATGGGTAATGTTGCAATGTCGCCATATGACCTATACTGTGTCAGTGTGATGTAAAACCCAATTAGACAAATAAACGATTAGATGATCATGCTGGCCTGGCTCTAAACTTAGTAACAGAATTTATTTTAGTTTGGTTGTGTAGTATGGTTTACGGTTATAGACAAACTCTCAAATCCTTTACTGGGACCAAACAGCACTGAGCAATGAATGTAAAAATTCTTGCTCTGGAAAACAACAGCTTGCCCCTAGCAGGTTTTGAACCCTCATGGCTAGCAACTCTTACATAACTAGTCTAATGCATTAAGCACTAAGCCTTGAGGCAAATGCTAGGTTTTAAACTGTTACATCATTAAGAGATGGAAAAAAAATCCAAAAATCTTGTGGCTTTGAACTTGTGGCAAAACAATGTATTAAACACCACTGGCATTCAAATGTTTTATAATAAGAACATTTTTATTTCGACATAAAACACAATGTGCAGGTAACAGTCTTTGCAACACTATGATTTACAATTAACCTTTTAACAAAAATAAAAAGCAGGCAAACAGAAAAAGGAGATTTATATTTATTATCAGAATCATGCTGAAAAAATTTGTGTAGATGCAGCATTCTCAGCTTACAAACTTGGTTTGAAACTTTAACATCATTAACTGATAGAAAAACTGTTCTATGTAATTCTCATCTATAAATGGGTAGTCCCTGGACAAGTGGGTAAGATCTTTGACCCAAATCACTTTCCCTGCACTGCTGATAGTTTCAGTACTGCAATGGACTTTGGCTTCTTTCATGTGATAAAGCTATTCTGCTGGCTTACAAAACATTTGTGGTACTACTTAATTACTTATGTATCCACTTGTGCCTGATTAAAAGCACATAGGGACATATGAAATTTCTCCCTCCACCAGTAAAGCTGGAAAGTCACCATATTTTTGAGCTTTATTGTATATGTATGAGTTGAAACCCATAACAAAAAAACAAAACAAAAAAACTATTTACTGCCACAAAAGTCTTGTGAAACTATTGATTTGTTTGCATTTGGATTTTTTGATACAGATATATATTTCAGACATTTTGGAGCGCCCTACACTGGGCGGCAGACAGAGGGAATGATGAGCTGGTCTATATTCTACTTGATGCTGGAATTGATCCTACAATCAGAGACATGGTTTGTAAATCTAAATCTTTTTATAACAAAAATAAAAAATAAAAGCAAATTTATAGAAGCAAATCATGTAACAAAAAATCACAAAGTTAGCAACATTCACTATAACTGTACTTATTGCTAAAAAGCATTAGATGAAAAATAAAGGAGACTAAGGTATAGGAAAACATATGTTATCTTTGTATAGAAAGCTGCTATGCCTCTATATTTGGCATATAGCATTGCCTAGTAGACCTCTATAAAAGTTTTTAAATTATGCACCTAGGGTTAAAATTGCCCCCACCTTGGAGGTCATATAGTATCATAAGGAGGGGCGTCTGTTGCTGAGAAGTTAAAGTCAATGCTTGCCACTCACCACAGTAAGTTCCAGCGGTGCAAGCATTGTCCAATTCTACTCCTGAGAAAGCCATCAGGCTAGCTTACAGAACGTCGGTGTTTCTACTTGTGTACTTTTTTGTGCCTGTAAAAAATACAGAGGAGCACCGGAGGTCTTCCTCCACCAGAAAATGTGGAAAGTAACCAATTGAACTATACTGTGTTGGTGCGACATAAAACCCAATTATTTATAATAAATTTAATTTTTTTTTCTTGAACTTAAATCTTTATAAGTATTTTATCTACATACTTCTAGCTATTTCTAGTGTTTAACAAAACTTTTGGTGCTTAGTGTTGACAGAAAAAAAAACAATTTTGCTGTTCAGCGGCGAAAGAAAAAAGAAACTTCTAAAGATGCTTGACTTTGTACATTTTGCCCTATTCCTAATTGAGTCAGATATCTGATAGATTATTATCTCCAGAGACCATGGAGATATTAGTGTATGTGCTTATGTAGATGTTTTCTACCCGCGTTTTGTGAAGTTTCTTCAAGTTTAAACATCATAATTGAACCAATCGTCAGTCTTCTTCCACTAACTAAATAATTATAACATATGAAAATACGTGTCATATCAAGAAATATGGTAATTACTTCATGAACACTTGTTACTAAGATCCCTTGGCTAAGAGACAGACCTCTATAAGCCATCTACATTTTTCTTAAAGTTACATTAAGCCAAACTAAATGTATATAGTGAGTGAACAGGTGAAAGTCACATTTTGTCGTAATTCCTTTCAATTTTATAATTTACTTTACATGAATGATTAATAACTTGCATGGTCCAAGGGAATTTCTATAATATCCATCAGAAATTACCTGTAATGTTCAATTTATAAAAATGGGAAATGGGGAGGGGTGGGGCTGTCTTATATTTTAAGGAGATTTGTATTTTATTGTTTTTATTCTAAACATTTTTCAATATCAGCTAATGGCCATTCACTAGTTTAACAGTCAATTATTTGAAATACAAAATATATGCATCTCAACTTGACCTTGACAATGAAAAAAATGAACATAATGTCACTTTTAATTGGGACTTTAGTTTTACTTCGACACATCGAAAAAATCAACTGATGGAAGTTTGACTCATAGAAGTTCTACTGTATCATGATTTTGCAATTTCTTTTTTGTGGTACAGCGAGGTGAGACTGCCGCAGAGAGGGCACAGACTGATGATATTAAAGAGTTTATAAAGACAGCAATTGTAATACAGAAAGACTTGACCAAGGTGAAACAACCAGTAATTAGACCTGCTAGACAACTCTGTAAACCTGAGGAACCATTTAAACCTAAATGTGATGCCAACTTTAAGGTAATTACACATAGATTTCAATACTTAGTATTGAATTTGTGTATAACTTTTTATTTATACTACAAATTTTTTTCATGCCCATTTTATATATTGAGTGTTGAGCACAAAACTGTTGTAAGTCCTTCTTTATTTCATATAAGTTACAGCAGTTTGTGGTCAACCCCGATATAAGCAAGTAAAAACTTGACCAGTTACTCAAACCACACACAGACTATATAAAAGAGCAAAATCATGTCCAGGTACAGAAAGAAAGCCCAAGTTGATTTTTTCTTAAATATAGAAAAAAAAAACTATTGGATTGTCTTTAAAATTTTGTGTATTAAAATATCTGATCATAAAACAATTAACAAGTTTTCTTTTTGGCCTATGGCATAAATGTAGTTTATATTGCAGTCACAGTCATTCTTGCCAAAAGACTGGAAACCTTCAAATCCTGTGAATGTGAAAAATCTAATAAACGAGAAGAAATCACGCCTTGCTGCTATGACATCACAAAAATATAGAAATGATCTTGCCAGGAGAACTGGTACTGGTGTTATAAAAGATGAAGATATAAAAACATCAGATGATGATATAAAAACATCAAGTGATGATATAAAAATGCCAAGTGATGATAAAAAAAAATCAAATGAAGAAATAAAAAATTCAGATGAAGATATAAAGAAGTCAAGTGAGGACATCAAGAAATCTGTTGAAGATGTTGAGACATGCAATGAAGATATAAAGAAATCTGATGAAGACTTAAAGAATACAGATGACAATACAAAGATACCAGAGGAAGATATAAAGGACTCTAATTCTAATAAAGACATATTAGAATCTGAAAATGATCTTAAGTTTGAGGAACAGCCTCGTGGTAACCCTGATGCTGACAAGGTTGCAGAGGATTATATAGAAAGAACTAATATAGATGCTTCTCAAGATACAGATGCAAATGAATACAATGTAAACACAAATGTTGAAGAACTGCCAATTTTTGAATGTTCAGAGAATATGAACAGTGTTAATGATAGAACAGACAGTTTACAAAGTGATAAAAGTGACAATATGAATGAAACAGTAAGTGATAATAAAGAAATAAGCAAAGATTCTGAAAATGAAAATATGCAAAAAGAAGATGACCACTAAGAAAAGAAGAAAATAGTTGTGATATACTGATAATTTGATTTGAAAATAATTATGTATGATCTAATTAGTTCTTATTGATCCTTTTTGAATGACATTACACCTGAAATTGTACTGTGTGAGAGATACAAGTCATAGGTTTGTAGAGAACAGAGAAGTAAAAAATGATGATACTGATTATCTCTCATCATAGATATTTAATTAAAATTGTTGTAATGATTATAGATAAATACGGGAGCAGTAGTTTGCTTGGTATAAGAGAATGATCTGGTTATACCCACTAATTGAAAACTAATGAGTTTTTGATGCAATTAAAAAAAGATAATCTGATGAAGAAATGAACATAAATTGATAAGATTTTTTACAAAATCTGATGCCATGTGCACATTTAATTTTCATTAAAGCAAATGAATGCAAAGATTTCTGTAAATGCCAGGCATCAATGTCCTTAACAAATTTGAGAATGTCACTATTCATGCTTTGAATTAAAATGGTTTTTCTAAGAGATACAGATTTCAACAAAATATGCATTAATTTGAATGTTATTTTACAAATAATAAAACTTTTAAGCTGCATTGTCAGGTGTATTGAATTAATTAAAAAGTCCATTATTAAAACTTACACTCCAGTGAAATTTGTGTAAATTTGATACATGTTCATCTGCCCACCTCATTAGTTTTGTATTTTGATATCATTTTTTTATGGTGATACTTTAAGTGCAGTTGTATTGTCATAACGTATTTCCCAGTACCGTCAGATCAATCCTGGTCTTATTGAAAAGGTGGGTTGAATTTTTTTCCAGTATAATCTGACTCGCACAGTTTCTGCATTAAAAGAGGATCCATGGTATTTAATGAAGCTTTGTAATCCGAAATGAATGGCATTTTGTTATTGATTCTTACAAAATTAATGGGAGTTCATTGATCTGTAGAGGAGACTGAAAAGATATGCAAATTTATTTGTTTAAAATCGGTACTGTATATGAATTGATTGCTTGCAAATTTAGACATGTTAGATTATGCTTGTTTGCTTATTTGTTTAAAAAGGCAATATCTGTCAATATTGCTTTTGGTGTTAGCATATACTGTTTATTCAGCGTTTTATGAGTATCAAGCTTTTATTTATTTCTCCTAAGATTTTTTGGAGAACAGGCAAGTATTTGTGCTGAATTCAGAAATACTTTTATATGTTAGCCTGACACTTGGTATATATATAACACTAGATGATGTAAATGTTATGATACTTATATGCTTAACTTTAATGCTTAAAATATATATTCTTTCATTATTTTTGTTTTTTAATATGAAGAGGTAGATTTGTTTATTAAAATTTGAAATGTAATGATGAGGCCATCTTCTGGATAAGAGATGAAAGGTGCAAGTCCAGATATGAACCTTTTCACTTTGAAACGTGTTTGTGTCCTTATTTTAACTCTTAATAGAATTTTTCACTGTCATGTTTTTACACATGCTTGGCCTAAAGGAAATATAGTGTTATTATTTTCACAATTTTGCTTGCTGTCAACCTGTAACATTGCATGTACAAAAAGATAGTAAATGAAACATTGATTACATATATCTTTTTGGGTCTGTACATTGTTTAAACACAGTTTATATGAAGTAAAAAATGTAAATATTTTAGAAAATATTTTAAACTTCTTTATCCTAGTTTTGATTAATCAGAAAATCTGTGGTTTAGTCTTTTCAGTGTCCTTTGATCATGAAATATGATTATTATTATTATATTGCTATGATTCTAACTTTAAGCCAGCTTGTGGCAATTTATTCCACCCCATGTAACCAGTGCTGCCCAAGATCTGCTGGCACATCCATGCTGTCTGATCATTGTCTGATCATTATCTGCACTGTCAGTATATATGATAATATATGTTGAAAAAATTTCCATAAATATAATAAATGGTTTTATCAAAATTGAAGAATGAATGTGTATTCTTTTCTTAGTCTGATTTGAATGAATAACGTTGGGTCACATTTACAATTAGAACAATTATTCAGGCAATACGGAAAACTTAACTTCATTGACAATAAGTTGGGATTTTGAAAATATGATGAAACAAAGGGCTTTTTACACTAAGCCAGTATATATTTTATAGGTATGTGTCAAAATTCTTACCTTTTTAATTTCTAATGTGTGTTATTGTGTGCAATATTAAAATGAAATGTATAACAAGTTTATATATAAGAGTTTTCCCTTATTTATTATCTGTTTGTACCTTCATGAAATAGAATAAATATGTCAAGCCTGTAATCAGGTGCTATATATATTTAGGATATTTAGTCTGGTCATTGTTATTTATCTTTACAGCTTGTTTTGTGCAATCTATATCATTTTTTATCAAATTTATTTGAATATTTATGATGAGTAAAATTAGTATATATTTTACTAAGAAAATTTCAAATTTTAAGACTTGTAAAGCTGTGAGCAAATATAGTTTATGCTAGATAGGGTAAGAGTTTGTTCTTTATAAAATCTGAAACCTTATCATAGTTAGCTATTTGGTATTTGATAAATATATTTATGAAATGCTGGAAATGTTAATGACTTATCTGTGCTACAAATATAGAGCCTGTATTGCTAACAAATGTCAATACAAGCTGACCAGTGCAGGTCTTCCTGCTGGCTACTCAGTTAAAAAAAATGATGTTAATGAAACAACTCAAATTGACAAGTCCTTATCAAAAGACAAACCCTAATTCATAGCAGGACAAGATACATGTATAGTCCAAATACTTTGACATAAACCACGTATTTGAAGCTATTTTTTACATTGGTCAAACCGGCTTTCGCATTTTCCGATAAACGTAAAACTGTTAAAAAAGGAAAATGGGAAGTCTTTCAATGAAGGACTAGACAAGATAGTGCTTCATTGAAAGACTTGCAATGTGTTTCCTAATTCATAACAGAGCAAGACGCTTCTTTATTCAAAGCAGGGCATCACATTTCTTACTTCAAAGTAGGACAAGACAAGTCCTAATTTATAATAGGGCATTACAATTCTAACTCAAAGTAGGGGCATAGAAGCCTATTCATAACAGGACAGAACAAAATTCTGGAAACAAAGTTTAATTCACAGCAGTGAAATATAAGTCATTATTCAGAGCAGGGCAGGAAAAGTCCTAACTTTAAGCAAAACTAAGCATGTCCTTATTCAAAGTAGGTCATATTCATTTATGTAGTTTTACCGGTGAAAACAAAGTACATAATTAGATCTCATAAACTTTAGTATTCATTTGAGGATAACTTACGTAATAAAGGTTTAGTCAAAAAAATGTAAAGGGTGAATTGAAATTTTTATATCCAATCATCTCATAAGAAAGAATCTAACTTTTTCACCGCGTATATCCAGTAACACAGAAATGTGCAAATGACGGAGGAATTGTGCAAAGTAACGCAGATTGGCTAAAACGACCACGGACCAATATATTTTATTGTACGCAAAATTTGAAGAAATAAAGTAGCGCACATGGTTGCTGAGACATTATACTTTAAACCGCATAACAATATTTCAATGAAAACTTTTTTTTTCATGATCATTTGTGAAAATTACGACCTGACTAGCGTATTGATAGCGTTTTTTTAGTTTCAATAATGCAATAACATACATATAACTTTATGATTTTTATATCCGGTGTACCTCAGACATTTTTCAATCTATTCATGTCATATTACACTTAGCAGATAAAACGTAATTGAGACCATTTTTAGCTCACCTGTCACAAAGTGACAGGGTGAGCTTTTGTGATCGCTTTTCGTCCGGCGTCCGTCCGTCCGTCGTCCGTCCGTCCGTCCGTAAACTTTTACTTTAAATGACATCTCCTCATAAACCACTAAGCCAATTTCATCCAAACTTCACAGGAATGTTCCTTTGGTGGTCACCTTTAAAAATTGTTCAAAGAATTTAATTCCATGCAAAACTCTGGTTGCCATGGCAACCGAAAGAAAAAACTTTAAATATCTTCTTTTAAAAAACCATAAGAGCTAGAGCTTAGATATTTAGCATGAAACATCTTCTAGTGAGTGTCTACCAAGTTTGTTCAAATAAAAGCCCTGGGGTCAAAATTGGCCCCGCCCGGGGGGTCATTGATTTTCCCTATATGCATATAGTAAAAACTTAAAAAAATCTTCTTTTAAAGAACCCAAAGAGCTAGAGCTAAGATATTTAGCATGAAACATGTTCTAATGGGTGTCTACCAAGTTTGTTCAAATAAAAGCCCTGGGGTGAAAATTGGCCCCGCCCGGGGGTCATTGATTTTCCCTATATGCATATAGTAAAAACTTAAAAAATCTTCTTTTAAAGAACTCAAAGAGCTAGAGCTTAGATATTTGGCATGAAACATCTTCTAGTGAGTGTCTACCAAGTTTGTTCAAATAAAAGCCCTGGGGTCAAAATTGGCCCCGCCCCGGGGGGTCATTGATTTTCCCTATATGCATATAGTAAAAACTTAAAAAATCTTCTTTTAAAGAACCCAAAGAGCTAGAACTAAGATATTTAGCATGAAACATGTTCTAATGGGTGTCTACCAAGTTTGTTCAAATAAAAGCCCTAGGGTGAAAATTGGCCCCGCCCCGGGGGTCATTGATTTTCCCTATATGCATATAGTAAAAACTTAAAAATCTTCTTTTAAAGAACTCAAAGAGCTAGAGCTTAAATATTTGGCATGAAACATCTTCTAGTGTGTGTCTACCAAGTTTGTTCAAATAAAAGCCCTGGGGTGAAAATTGGCCCCGCCCCGGGGGGTCATTGATTTTCCCTATATGCATATAGTAAAAACTTAAAAAAATCTTCTTTTAAAGAACTCAAAGAGCTATGGCTAAGATATTGAGCATCAAACATGTTCTAATAGGTGTCTACCAAGTTTGTTCAAATACAAGCCCAGGGGTCAAAATTGGCCCCGCCCGGGGGTCATTGATTTTCTTTATATGTGTTTAGCAAAAACTTTAAATCTTCTTTGAAAAAACCCAAATAGCTAGAGTTTAGATATTAAGCATGAAACATCTTCTAGTAAGTGTCTACAAAGTTTGTTCAAATAAAAGCCCTGGGGTCAAAACTGGCCCTGCCCCAGGGGTGTCATTGTTTTTAACTATATGTGTATATGTAAAAACTTTAAAAAAATCTTCTTTTAAAAAGCCCAATGAGCTAGAGCTTAAATGTTTAGCATGAAACATCTTCTTATGGGTGTCTACCAAGTTTGTGCAAATAAAAGCTCTTGGGTTAAATTGGCTCTGCAACGTTGGGGGGTTGGGGGGCCTATATACAGGTGAGCGACCTCAGGGCCATCATGGCCCTCTTGTTATGAGGTAACGCCGAATTCTTGAATGAAGCAATAAAGCAACGGCGGTTATATTATTAAAAGTAGCTAAATCTTATTGTATCAGCTTCCTTCTATTGTTATACGAAACTTGTAGTTTGACAAATATCTTAGGTATACAGAAAATGGAAAAATAATGTTTTAAAGGTGTTAAATGTATATATTTATTTAACGAAACACAAAAGTCACTTTCAAATTGGTAATCAGGCTGTCTTTCTCACAAGAAAACATGTTACTGAAAACAATTGTGACTCTGATTAAAGTATAATGTCATGGCAGCCGTATGCGCTAATTCATTTCTTAAAATTTGATTTAGAATAAAATATTTTGGTTCGTTTGCTTACTATGTTATTCGTTTTGACAATAAGGTTGCACAGATTCGGCGCTACTTTTACGTTATTTGCACATTCCTATGCATGGTGTTTTTAATAATGAGTGAAGAAAAAGCGTGTTTATTATTTTTTTAAGCATGCCATTTGTATGCTTTGTTTATTGAAATAAAATATTATGTTCATATATAAATTGATATAAATTTATTCTTATCCCTTAGTAACTTTTGTCACCAGTAATAACCTTTGTCACCACCGTACAGTCTGACAAGGTTTCATAATTCATACAAAATGAATATATATATATCGTCCAAGTCGTGTGAATCAACTTAATAAATATGTCATTTGCTTGACCTAGGTGTTTTGTTATTATACAAAAAACAATACAATACAATTAATATTTATTATCTGATTATTTCATGACAAAATACTACATGTTTATAAATTCTTTGTACTAATTAAGTATAATAGACTACGGATCATGTTTCATATGAGAAAGTTACACTTTGTGCACACGGGTATAACAGCGCCATTGTCTTTTCATAACAACCATAATTGGGTTGACGTTGATCATATAAAGGCGAATGTTGTTATAAACTGAAAATATTCAGAGTATGTTATTATTACATGACTATAAGAGATCTTTTTAAATGTTGAGGATTGTGATAAAAGTTTTATTTTAAATAATTATGTTTAAAATGACACTGGAAAAAATATTGGACAATTTTTATCAATTCAGAAACACAAAATAAGTCAACTTAAAGAACAGGTTTAAACAGAACAATTAACAAAATGGCGACAGGTGGACAAATCAATACTGATATTCTTTCAGATGAATTTTTTGATGTATCATGTTCAATGTGTAAAAATAAAGGGAAAAACACTGAAGGTGAAAAATACTGTGTAAACTGTAAGGATTATTTCTGTTTAACTTGTGTTCAAGTACATGGTCAAGTGCCTCTGTGTGCTGGTCACAAGGTGCTGGATAAATCTCAAGTTAATTCTGGAACCAGCAAAAGTCTGCCGAAGGCACCAACAGAGAGATGTGACAGACACCGTCATAAACACATTGATATGTACTGTCAGAACCATGATAATGTTGGCTGTTCTACATGTATGGCATATGATCATAGGTAAATTTTAATGAACATATAAAAATAGATTATGTTTAAATTAATATTATAGAATGTTAAATTGGTACTTAAAAGGCTTTACATAATTTTTTGTTTCTGAAATACCGATTTGCTATAGAGAATTACATATTATCTTTTCAGTCATCTCATAGCCTCATATACATTATAACTGTCTAAACTTATTTTTCAGATTATGCAAGGATACATTCTACATACCAGAATTTATCCAAAACAATACTTACAAAGTCAAATCCACAGGAGTAAAAACAAAACTCAAAAAACTAGCAAAGACTCTTGAAAACCAGTCTGATAGATTTAAACAGGATAAACAAAGACTGCTGAAGAAGAAAGCAGAGATACTGGCTGATATTAGAAAATTCCGACAAGAAATCAATGACCATTTGGACAAGCTGGAGAAAAATTCTGTTGATGAGATAGAAAGTCAATTCAAATGTCTTGAAGACAAAGTTGAAGATTGTCTAAACCAGCTACAAATAAAAAAAATCAGCTAATGATAAATTAGCATCTCAAAACACAAATAAAGTTGACGTATTTGTTCATGCTAAGATTGCTGAGGATGCTGCGAATGATGCCAACAGATATATAGAAGATGCAAAATTAAAAAACACTGTAGAGGACGTAAAATTTCACTTTGACAGAACAATTCTTACAAAGCTAGAGCAAAAGAAAACGTTAGGCACCCATTCAGAGAAACCTACTGGTAATTTAATACAAATTAAAAGAAAAAAATCTTATAATGTAAAAATAAAGTCTGATGGATTGAAATGTAACATCACTAGTGCCTGCTGTTTACAAGATGGTACAATAATTCTAGTTGATAGAGACAACCGGAAGCTTAAACGGTTACATGCGGAAAAATATACCGTCATTGACTCCTGTGATCTACAAGGAATTCTATGGCAAGTATGTATGATCAATGACACACAAGTAGCAGTAACTGTGCCATCACATTTGCAAGTACATTTCTTTTCTTTAGAAGGAAAAATAAAAGCAACAAACCAGATTAATACAAAAGTTAAATGTTATGGTATTGCCTATGCAAACAGTAATTTATATATTTCAGACTCTTATACATCAGTATATATGTATACATTGTCTGGTAGGAAGCTTAATCAGTTCAGTTATCAATTAGGATGTGAGCCCGATGCTACGCTCCCTTACATAAACAGTCTAGCTGTCAGTAAGGATGCTACAAGGATTTATGTTGCTGACCATACTAATGGACTGATAGTACTGGACAACAATGGCCAGGTTATTACATCATTTAATAGTTGGCAAATATTCGGGACTCAATGCTGTTATCTCACGGAGGCAGGTTGTGTGCTGGTATCTGGCTCCAGTAATGTTTTACAGTTTACACCTGACGGTGACCTCTTGGGAGAGGTTATAACAGCTGACAGTGGAAAAGGGGGCATTATATCAGTATGTTGTAATCAAGAAATGACAAAGATGTGTACAAGCAAAGTTAACAAAAAGCTCAAAGTGTATGACATCTAAATAAATCCAACGTTGAATAAGCCACTTAAAGAATATCCTTATTCATATGTTAAATACAATATTTAAAAATAAAATATAAAAAGAAAAACACAGTCCCTTAATTACAGGTTTGTAACTTGTATGTACATGTTCAGTCATAGGCCAGTAAATATTTTTTTAAAGTTTAAACTGGGTACAGAAAAACAAAGTAAAGATCTTTGGAGTAATAAAAATGAATGCAATTCTTGGGCATGATGGACCTTCAAAGTATTGATTCAATAACAGTCATATTATTGTTTATGCATACGAAGGGCGGCAATATAATAGTAATCACATTGTCTGTCCATCCGACCGTCCGAAAATTTTGCCCGCACTCCTCTATAACCCCTTGGGGATTTCATTGAAACTTCACAGGAGTGATCAGTACCACCCCTAGTTGTGCATATCGCATGTTGTGCATATCGCAGGCGTATTCCGCTTCTTCGCTGCACAACATGTCCGCCAGACCTATGAATAGGTCGGATCGTGCTCGTCGCTGAGAAGGCACATGGCATCGGCAGAAGATTTGATGACATGGTATGGTGCAAAAGTTCGGCGGACCAACTGCCGATGTCCTGACTAATACCAAGGGGCGTGACTTTACAAAGTAGGCTTTGAGTCAACGAGGATGGTGTGCTAGGATGTGTGAGCCCCTAGCACGGGTAGACGGCTTGAAACACAGGCCTTTTGCTGGCACCAACAGCTCTTGAAAGGGTCACCCTTTCATATTGTCCCAGGTTGCCGTACATTTAGGTTTTCATTGACCGCCGTACAGTGACCTACGTTTGGCTCAAAATCATATATATGGTTGATACTCCATGGAAATTGCTTTGAAGGTAAATTATCACCAATTTGCGCTTCAAAATTAGCTCTTTAAGGTGACATGTCCGGGGACAGTACTCGACAGCAAAAGCTGCATTTTCTAGCCTTACGGGCGAATGAATCCTCCTTAAGCATAGACTGCACAAACACGCGCGCACACTGGCTTTCATAGGTCAAACAGCTGGCTGGATTTCAATGAAATTTCACAGGAGTGATGACTACCATCCCAAGTTGTCCATATCGCAGACACGTTCCGCTTGGCTGAACAAAATGGCAGCCAGAGCTTTAAAAAGAAAAAAAAAATGTCCGGCTTTCACAGATCAAAGTTCTGGTGGGGTTTCAATGGAACTTAACAGGAGTGATCAGTTTCATCCCTAGTTGTGCATATCGCCGGCATGTTCGGCTTTGCTGCACAAAAATGCCGTCAACCCAAAAATTTTAGATACACAAGGCTAAAAGTGAAATCTCTAAACTCTTTGCATCAATGTCATTAACAAATTTTAAAATGCCAAAGAGATTCCAATTTCAACAAAATTGTATAATCCTTTTATTGACATGCAATTTCACAAATACCCGGTAGTAAAACGTTAAAGCTGCATTATCAAGTGTATTGAATTAATAAAAAGTACATAATTAAAACTTACACTTCAGTGAAATTTCACTAAATTTGATACTTGTTCACCTGCCCACCTCATTAGTTTTGTATTTTGATATCATTTTAATAGTGGTATTTCAGTGCATTTCTATGATCATAACACATATCCCAGTGCCATCAGATCAATCCTGGTCTTATTGAAAAGTTAAGTTGATTTTTTTTTAGTTTTATTCTGACTCTCTCTCACGGTTTCTACATTAAAAGAGGATCCATGTTATTAAATGAAGCTTTGTAATCCAAAATGAATGGCATTTTGTTATTGATTCTTACAAGTTAATGGGAGTTTATTGATGAAAATATATGCAAATTTATTTGTTTAAAATCAGTACTGTATGTGAATTGATTGCTTGCAATGTTAGATTATGCTTGTTTGATTTTGTTTACAAAACAATATATGTCAGTATAGGTCTTTGTGTGTGAGCATTTACTGTTTATTTAGCGTTTTATGAATATCAAGTTTTTGATTTATTTTTCATTACATTTTGGAGAAATGGCTAGTTTTTGTGCTGAATCAAGAAAAACCTTTTATGTTTGCCTGCCTCCATGATGTAACACTAGATGTTGTAAATTTCATGTAATTAATATGCATAACTTCAACGTTTGATATATGTTTTCATTTTGTTTGTTTTGCAATATGAAAGAGGAGATTTGTTTTTTATTTGTTTTAAAATTTGAAATGTTTTGATGGTATGAGGCCATCTTCTGCATGAGAGATGAAAGTTTTATGTCCAGATATGAAATTTTTCACTATGAAACAGTTTTTTTTGTGTGTGTGTTTTTGTTTTGTTTTAATTCTTTAAATGCTGCTTAAACATGCTTGTCCTAAAAGAAATATAGTGTTATCTTTTAACAGTTTTGCTTGCTGTCGACTTGAAAATTGCTTGTACAAAGAGATTGTAAATAAAACATTGATAATATCTTTTTAGGACTGTTAATTGCTTCAACACCGTTTATATGAAGTAGAAAATAGAAATATTAAAAAAAATATTGTAAAATTCTTTAGCCTAGTTTTGATTAATCAGAAAATCTGTGGTTTAGTCTTATCGTAGTCCTTTGATCATGAAAGATTGCTATGATTCTAACTTTAAGCCAGCTTGTGCCCATGTTACCAGTGCTGCCCAAGATCTGCTGGCACATCCATGTTGCTTGATCTTTGTCTAAACTGTCAATACATATGTTGAACAAATTTTCCTAAATTTTATTTTAGAAAATATTGTTAACTTCTTTATCCCAGTTTTGATTAATCAGAAAATCTGTGATTTAGGTTTTAAAGGGCCTTTTTGCAAAAGTAAAATAAGTAAAAGATAATATTTCTTTGCATGTTCTAAGCAAGATTTGAGTGAACAAGTTGCAATTTGGGTAATTATTTTCACATTTAGAATAATTGTTCTGGAAAAACAAATAGAGCGAATGATCTTAATTTTTTTACATAGATTATTGATGTATACCTACATCCAAATGGAACGATAATTTTGTAAAATTTTCTGATGTCGGAAATTACTCAGTGGAGTCTATTAAAGTTCATATGTTTTTGTCTATGTATATTTCATGTGTACAATTTTTTCATTTCAAGTTTGCAATAATTGAAAGCTTAAACTACTTTGACAATAAGTGGTATTTTGAAAAGTTGATGAAACAAGGGGATTTGAATGCAAAGTCAGTAGATATTTTATAATATTTGTTTCAAAAGAAAATTAAAATTGTAAATGTTACTAATACATTTTAAATTTCTATTGTATTATTGTGTGCAATATTTTAAAAGAAATAAATAACATGTTTATAATAAACGAGTTTTTCTCTTATTTATTATCTTTGTTTTTTACCTTCATGAAATAAAATAAATATGCGAAGCCTGTGTTAATCAGGTGCTAAATATATTTAGGATATTGAACCTGGTAATGGATAAATATCTATATTACTTTTTCTTTTCCTATCAATTTCATTGTACAATCTATACCATTTTGTAATTAGACTTATTTGGATATTTATGATGAAAACATTGCTTTATAGCAAAGCAAAGATGGATATAAAATGAACATGAAGCTTTCAAATTTTAAAAATTGTAAAGTTGTGAGCAAATATAATTAATTCTAAGGTAACAGATTGAACATTATAAATAGAAAAACTTACCATAGTAAGCTGTTTGGTATTTGATGAAAAACAAACTTACCTATGGAATGGTTAATGACTTAACTGTGCTACAAATATAGAGCCCGTCGAGCCAACACATGTCAATATAATCTGACCAATGCAGGTCTTCCTGCTGGCAGCTCAGTTAAAAAAATTATGATAATGAAACAACTGAAACTCATAATAGACAAGTCCTGATCCAAAGCAGGACAAGACGAGCCCTTATTCATAGCAGGACAAGATAAAGTATAGTCCAAATATTTAGAAGTAAACCGCAGATTTGAAGCTATTTTTTACATTGGTCAAATGCGCTTTCGCATTCTCCGATAAACGTAAAACTGTTAAAAAAGAAAATGGGAAGTCTTTCAATGAAGGACTTGACAAGATAGTGCTTAACCCAAAGCAATGCAATATGTATCCTTATTCATAACAGAGCAAGACGCATCCTAATTCATATCAGGGCATGACATAACTTTGTTCAAAGCAGGGTCGGACAAGTCCTGATTCATAACAGGGTTTTACAATTCTTAATTCATAGCAGGTCAATAGAAGTCCTTATTCATAACAGGACAGAACAAGCCTTAATTCATAGCAGTGAAATATAAGTCATTATTCAAATAAGGTCAAGAAAAGTCCTAATTCTACGCAGGACTAAGCATGTCCTTATTCAAAGTAGATCATATTCATTTATTCAGTTTTACCGGTGAAACAAAATGCATAATTACATCTCATAACTTTGGTAGTTATTTGAGGATAATTATCTTAATAAAGGTTTAGTCAGAAATTTAGACGGTGATTGACTTTTTCCTATCTTACCATCTCTTTTGATAGAATCTAATTAACTTTTATCCGGATCAACAGTTCTAAGTTAGTTAAAGTTATTTTAGTTTATTTTTTATGATAATTGTTAAATGCACAAATAATGGCTGTACGTAATATATGACCATTTGATGACTTTCTATTATCTTATTGTCAATGAAGGAAATACATGTTTATATTTGTTGAGCAGTTGATTGCTTTGTTTATCGAAATAGATTAATATTTGAAAATATTCGTTTATGTTTATATATATATACACTGTGTATATAAATTACTAATTTACAGATTTGATATAATATACAGTCGAACTTGTTCGCTCGACCTCGGAGGGCCTGTGCAAATTTGTTCGAGAGATCAGTAGTTCGAGTCGATCGAGGTTGAACTATTATGACGAGGTTGAACTATTATCACGTAGGTCGTAGGCATAAACGTTTCCATCTTATGTCCATCGAATGATAAATACGTCATAATAATTGTTTGTTAGTAAATCAGTTCGTCGAATACGTCATTTCTTTTAAGGTTCCTTCTTTTAAATATAAGGAATTATTATCCCAGTGTTTTCAAATGAGTATTAATTATTTATCATTTTAGTGATTAGCCTGTCCGTGCTCTGCCTTGTGCCCTGTCCTGTTTTTGTTTGGGGTCCGCCTGGGCTCCTTGCCACTGGTTCTTGTTGCTTGGTCGTGTGGGGTTGCATTCATTGAACGCCATCTTTCCTTGTTGATCTTGTTTATCATATTTTTGTCGGTACTGTACGCTGTTAATCTATATTCATGCATATTGAAATTGGTTGAGTTCGATTGGGCAGTCATTTACCTAACTGTTTATTATGGGATAAATTTAATTTTAAACAATGGATTAATAAAATATATAAAAAAAAAATAAAATAAAAACAAAATTTAACAGCAGCATTTATTTGTAGTCGTTTACTAGAAAACGCACGTACAAGTAATATTCTATAGATTACACTGTTACAATTCACGTTACATGCACCACAGCCGTCCAGGTAAACGTCATCTATTTATTGACTTATTTCACTAGTTATTTTCTTTTTATCTATTTTTAAAAAGACGTTTTTTGGTAGCTCTTTTTTTGAATTAGTAAATGTGTGTGTTATAGAATAAAGTTTATAAAAAAAAAACACGGCGGGTAGAAGGTCAAAAAGGGTAGTCGATCAAGTGCCTATGTACAAAAGTATCACACCAGCTCATCCTTGAACACGTCCAACTCATGTGAATCAACAAGAATAAAGTGCTTAATAAATATGCCATATGCTTGGTCTTAGTTTTATTATTTTACAAGAAAGTCATTGATACAATTAATAATTTATTACCTCATTATTTCATGACAAAATATTTTTCTCAAAACTATTTCTGTTATTTTCTACCGAGTTATATGGCTATTTCTTCAAAATACTACATGTTTATAAATTCTTTGTACCAATTTAGTATAATAGATTACGGATAATGTTAATAAGCTAATGTTACACTTTGTGCACAGAGGTATGACAGCGCCATTGTCTATTCATAGCAACCATAATTGGGTTGACGTTGATCAAATAAAGCGAATGTTGTTACAAACTGAAAAGATTAAGAGTATGTTGTTATTACAGGAATATAAGAGATCTTTTTAAAAGTTGAGGATTGTGATAAAAGTTTTATTTTAAATTATTATGTTTAAAATGACAGTGAAAACAAACTTTTATCAATTTAGAAACACAAAATAAGTCAACTTAAAGATCAGGTTTAAACAGGACAGTTAACAAAATGGCGGCAGGTGGACAAATTAATACGGATACTCTTTCAGACGAAATATTTGATGTATCTTGTTCAATGTGTAAAAATCAAGGCAAAAACGCTGACGGTGAAAAATACTGTGTTGACTGTAAAGATTATTTCTGTGTTACTTGTATTAAAGTTCACAGTAAAGTGCCTTTATGTGCTGGTCACAAGGTGTTGGATAGATCTCAAGTTAAGAGTAAGTCAGGAAATAGCAAAGGTTTGCTGAACGCACCAACAGAGAGATGTGATAGACACAGTCATAAACACATTGATATGTACTGTCAGAACCATGATAATGTTGGCTGTTCTACATGTATGGCAGATGATCATAGGTACAATTTAATTAACATATAAAAATAGATTATGTTTTCAATTAATATAAGGAACGTTTAATTGGTACTTGAAAGCCTTAACAAAATATTTTATCTGAAATACCGATATGCTATAGAGAATAACGTATTATCTTCTCAGTCATCTCATGGCCTCATATACATTACTGTCTAAACTTATTTTTCAGATTGTGCAAGGACACATTCTACATACAAGAATTTATCAAAAAGAATTCTTACAAAGTCAAATCCACAGGAGTAAAAACAAAAATTAAAAAACTAGCAAAGACCCTTGATAAACAGTCTGATAGATTTAAACAGGATAAACAAAGGCTTCTAAAGAGGAAAGCAGAGATACTTATTGATCTTAGAAAATTCCGACAGGAAATCAACGACCATCTTGACAAGCTGGAGAAAAGTTCTGTTGATGAGATAGAAAGTAAATTCAAAAGTCTTCAAGACAAAGTTGAAGATGGTCTCAAACAGCTACAAATGAAAAAGTCCAGGATTACATCAGCTTTTGATAAATTAGCATCTCAAAACACAAATAAAGTTGAAGTATTTGTTCATGTTAAGATGGCAGAGGATGCTGCGAATGTTGCATACAAATATATAGAAGATGCAAAATTAAAAAGTACAGTAGAAGACCTGGAATTTCATTTCGACAGAACAATTCTTACAAGTTTAGAACAAAAGAAAACCCTAGGCACACCAAAGAAAACCCTAGGCACACCAAAGAAAACCCAACGCACACAACCAGAGAAACCTATTGGCAATTCATTACAGATTAAAAGCGAAAAATCATTTAATGTAAAAGTAAAGTCAGATGAAGATGATTGTAATATTACTAGTGCCTGCTGTATGGAAGATGGTACAATAATTCTAGCTGATCAAAGCAACAACAAGCTTAAACGGATACACAGAAAAAAATATACTGTCACTGAGTACTGTGATCTACCTGGAGAGCCACATCAAGTGTGTATGATCACAAGTAGCAGTAACTGTGCCATCACAAATGCAAGTGCATTTCATTTCTGTAGAAAAAAAAATTAAAACAAAAGACAAGATTCATACAGATTTTAAATGTTATGGACTTGCCTATGCAAACAGTAATTTATATATCTCAGACTTTTATACGTCAGTTTATATGTATACATTGTCTGGCAGGAAGCTTATTCAGTTCAGTGCAGGTAATCCAGGACATGAGCTGTGTCCTAACATATACAGTTTAGCTGTCAGTAAGAATGCTACAAGGATTTATGTTGCTGATTTGAAGAATGGATTGATAGTACTGGACAACAATGGTCAGGTTATTACATCATTAAATGATTCGCAAATGAGCGGGGCTCAATGCTGTTGTCTCATGGAAGCTGGTAGTGTGCTGGTATCCGGATATTACTCCAATAATGTTTCACAGTTTACATCTGGTGGTGAACTGAAAGGAGAGGTTATAAAAGCTGATAGTGGAAAAGAGGACATTTTATCAGTTTGTTGTAATCAACAAATGACTATGATGTGTGTAAGCAGAGAATATGACAACATCATTGAAGTGTATGATATCTAAATAAATGCAACTTAGAATGAACCACTTAAAGAATATCCTGATTCATATGTAAAATACAATATTTAAAAATAAATGTAAAAAAGAAAAACACAGTCACTTTAATAACTTGATTGTCAGTTGTATGTACATGAACAATATGTAGTGATACCAGTTTAATTTATTGTGAATATACATGAATAATTTTGTTATACATGTATTTGATTTATCACATACGTTGTATTCTTGCATTATGATTTCATACAAAATTGATATATATATTTAATTGTATTTTGTGTAAATGAGATAGTGTTTATGAGTGAAATAAATATAGAGTTTAAAATCATTTTTCTATCTATTTTAGGAACCTTTTATTTTGTGTAATTTATTTGTGTTTTCCTTCTTTTCGACTAAATAATACTGAAAAGCCCAATTTTTTCCTAAAAACGAATACTATTATTTTCTTTCTTTAGAAAGCACTTTTTTGTTTATATAAATGTTAAAGTGCCGCTTAAATGCTTATTACTAGTAGAAATTTGAAGTGAATGTGAAATATATTTCAATAAAGTAGCAAAATGTAAACAAAGCATAATTTTGACTTTCAACCAAAAGCTAAATAACTATAACTGTACTCATTTGCAAAATATCAACAGAAGCAAAGGATTTGTTCAGTCATAGGCCAGTGAATTAAGAAAAAAGGCAAAAAAGTAAAGATCTTTTGAGTAATAAAAATGAGAGCAATTCTTGGGCATGGGCCTTAAAAGTATTTAGTCAATAACAATCGTATTTTTTGTTATGCCTGCGAACGGTGGCAATAGTAATAATTACACTGTCCATCCATCCATCCGTCCGGACATTTTGTTCGCTCTTCTCCATAACCTCTTAGGGTTTTCATTGACACTTTACAGGACTGATCAGTACCACCCCTAGTTGTGCATATCGCAGGTAGTGCATATCGCAAGCATGTTCCGCTTCGCTGCACAAAATGTCCGCCAGAGCTATAAAAAGAATAACAAACGTTTTCCGGCTTTTACAACAGCCTGCATAGCTCAATCGGTTAGAGCGCGAGTCTTGTAATCTCGACATTGTGGGTTTGATTACCGGGCTGGCCAACTAAAATTACTTATCAGTCTTTCGGATGAGACTTTAAATCGAGGTCCCGTGTATGGGTGCTTAAACACTTGGCACGCAAAAGAACCAGGAGAAGCTTCTGGAATCGGGGCATCTTTCTGTATCTGTAATTGCACTATCCTCCAAAAATCTAAAATGAATAATACTCTTTTGGAGGTCTCGCCCATATGTGCAACCGGTGGCGAGTATAAATAAACGCAAATACTCACAATCCGGCTTTCACACTTCTCATTTCCCTTCGGAGCATGCTCGTCGCTGAAAAGGCACAGGGCATCGACAGAAAATCTGAAGACTTGGGATAGCGCAAAAGTTCAGAACTTGTACTGTGGACCAGCTGCCGATGTTCTCACTAATGCCGAGGGGAGTGGCCCTACAAATCAGTCTTTGAGTCGACGAGGATAGTGTGCTAGGGTGTATGAGCCCCTAACACGGATAGACGGCTTGCACAGCAGATGGCCTTTTGCTGAAACCAACAGCTCTGTAAGGGCTACCCTTTCATATTGTCTCGGGTTACTGTACATTTAGGTTATAATTGACCGCCGTACAGTGACATACTTTTGGCTCAAAATTTATACATTTTGCTTATACTCCATGGAAATTGCTTGGAGGTAAATTATCATCACTTTGTGCATCAAAATTAGCTCTTTAAGATGTCCGAGGACCGCACTCGACAGCGAAAGCTGTATTTTTGTGCCCTTACGGGCGGATGGACCCCCATTAATCATAGACTACACACACGCACAGGGGTGATAAGTACCATCCCTAGTTGTGCATAACGCAGACACGTTCCGCTTCGCTGAACAAAATAGCTATAAAAAGAAAAATTTTGTCCGGCTTTCACCTGTCAAACTGCTGCTCGGGTTTCAATGAAACTTCACAGGAGTGATCAGTACCATCCCTTGTTGTGCATATCGCCGGCATGTTCCGCTTTGCAGTTTAAAATGGCCGTCAACCCATTTAAAAGTATTTGTGTGTTTGTTTAAGCAAATGAATGTAAACGCAGAGCCAAAATTGTTTCGATACACAAGACTAAAAGTGTAATCTCTAAATGCCAGGCATCAATGTCCTTAACAAATTTGAGAATGTCACCATTCATGCTTTTAGTTAAAATGCTTTTTCAGAGAGATTCAAAGTTCAATAAATTATGCAGTATAATCCTGTGCCTTTATTCAAATGTCATTTTACAAATAATAAAACTTTTAAGCTGAATTGTCAGGTGTATTGAATTAATTTAAAGTCCATTATTTAAACTTACACTTCAGTGAAATTCATGTAAATTTGATACATGCCAACTTGCCCACCTCATTAGTTTTGTATTTTGATATCATTTTTATAGTGATACTTTAAGTGCAGTTCTATTGGCCTAGTGCCATTAGATCAATCCAGGTCTTCTTGAAAAGGCGAGTTGATTATTTTCCCGGTATAATCTGACTCGCACGGTTTTTGCATTAAAAGAGGATCCATGTTATTAAATGAAGCTTTGTAATCCAAATGAATGGCATTTTGTTATTGATTCTTACAAAGTTAATGGCAGTTCATTGGTCTGTAGAGGAGACTGGAAATATATGCAAATTTACTCTTTTATATGAATAGATTGCATGCAATGTTAGATTATGCTTGATTGCTTATTTTGTTTAAAAAGGACAATATTTGTCAATGTTAGTCATGGTACGAGCATTTTCTGTTTATTACTCTTTATTTAACGTTTACTTAGTTTTCTTTACATTTTTTTAAGAATAGGCAAATATTTGTGCTGAATCCAGAAATACCTTTTATGTTAGCTTATAGCACTAGATGTTGTAAATTTTATGTTATTTATATGCTTAACTTCAATGTATAAAATATATATTCTTTCATTTTTTTCAATATGAAGAAGTAGGTTTCTTTAGTATTTGAAACATAAAATGTATTGATAGCACAAGGTCATCTTCTGGATGAGAGGTCCAGATATGAAACCTCTCACTTTGAAACAGTTTTTTGTTTTATTTTTTAAAGAACTTGTCACTGTTGTGCTTGTTACGTATGCTTTGTTAAGGAATTGTGTTGTTATTTTTTTCGCAATTTTGCCTGATGTCAACCCGTTACTTTGCATATACAAAAAGAAAGTGAATGTAACATTGCTATATTTTTCATATATTTTCTTATGACCTTGAAATGATTAAACATAATTTATTTGAAGTAGAAAAAATAAATATTATAGGATACATTGTTAACTTCTTTATCCTAGTTTTGATTAATCAGTAAATCTGTATGTTGTATTTTTTCTGTGGATAAAAAAGCCTAAAAACATAAAATTTGAAAGGCTTTTATAGACCAACTCAGGCACTTAAACAGGAAGATGTACAAAAGTAAAATAAGATATACATGTGTAGACTTAGAAATAAATTGAAAATCATATTTTTGTGCTTTTCTTAGCCTGATTTGAGCAAAAAAACTTTGCATCTTGGGTCTTTTTTCACAATTAGAACAGTTATGGTGGTATAACGGAGTGAGCAAAGAATTTTTTCACAGAAATTATTAATGTAGACATACATCCAAATGAAACACTAATTTCCAGTCCCATCATGTCGAAAAACCTCAGTGGAGTCCATATGAATTCATATGTTTTTGTCTGTGTGTATTTTTGTGTACAATTCTTTCAAAAGGTCATAATAATTGAAAACTTAACTTCTTTGACAATAAGTGGTATTTTGAAAAGTTGGTGAAACAAGGGGCTTTTAATGCTAAGTCAGTATATATTGTATTCTTATGAGTCAAAATAAATTAATTGTAAATGTTAATTATACCTTTTTAAGTTCTAGTGTGTTATAATTTGCAATATTAAAATGAAATATACGACATGTTTATGTATAAAAGAGATTTTCCCTTATTTATTCTCTATGTTTTTTTACAGTAATCAAATAAAATAAATATGTCAAGCCAGTTTTAATCAGATGTTAAAATATATTAAGGATATTTAGCCGGTCAATGCTTTATAATCTTTACATCTTGTTTTTTTCTCATCTATTTAATTGTACAGTCTAAATCGTTTAGTAATTAAATTTATTTGGACATTTATGTTTTATATTTTACAAAGAAAAGATAGACATGAAACTTTCAGACTTGTAAAGTTGTGAGCAAATATAGTTAACGCTAAGGTAACAGATGTACATCATAAATCGAAAAACTTACCATAGTTAGCTGTTTGGTATTTGATAAAAAAAAACTTACCTATGAAATGGCAGCAATGTTAATGACTTAACTGTGCTACAGATATAGAGCCTATATAGCCAACAAATGTCAATACAAGCTGACCAGTAAAGGTCTTCCTGCTGCTGGCTACTCAGTTAAAAATTCATGTTAACAAAACCACTCAAATTCATAATCGGCAAGTCCTGATTCAAAGCAAATCTTTACAAGTCCTCATTCATAGCAGGGCTTTACAATTCTTAATTTAAAGCAGAGCTTTACAAATCATAATTCATAGCAGGGCATTACTATTCGTAATTCAAAGCAGGGATTTACAAGACAAGTCCACATTCATAGCAGGGCAAAACAAGCCAAAATGCACAGCAGTGAAATAAAGGTCATCATTAAAAGGAGGGCAAGAAAAATCCTTATTCCAAATAGGTCATATCTAGTTCCGTTAAGTTTACCGATGAAACAAAGAACATAACAAAGTACATAATTACATGTCATAACTTTGGCATTTATTTGAGGATAACTATCTTAATAAAGGTTTAAGTCAGAAATATAGACGGTGGTTGACATTTTCAAATCTTACCATCTCTTTTGATAGAATCTAATTAACTATTAACTTTTTATCCGGATCTACAATTCTGACTTCTGAATTAAAATAATCCTAGTTTATTTTCTATGATTATATCTGAAAAGCACAAATACACGCTGTAATA